TTTTTCAGGTGTGACCATAACCTATTACAAACTTCCAGTCAATGTCATCCCTATGGGTATAAATTAGGCTCATTATTGAAGTTACCTAAGATGACACAACTAATTAAATTTTCTCTTTTCACATTGAATCATGCAATCATGGAATATAAGAGCTGGAATGGTCCCTAGATACAAACTAGCGCAGTGGTTCCCAAGCGCCGGGCTGTGGACCAGAGCTGGTCCATCACCAAGTTTTCATTTGTTCAATGTGAAATGAGGAAAACGGGTTGGGGGCGGGGGGGTGTCATTGTAAGGAATCTAGTCTTGGGAAGTTCTGTCTCTTATTCTAAGACCAACTCAATCGTACTCTTATATTAAACAATAGTGCTAGAAGCTGGTGACTGCCACATTCTTTCTTTCTTTTGTGTTTCTACGTGGCAAAATAAAATTTGGTAACCTTGGATCACCTGCAAAACCTTTTGTTATCTGAGCCTACTGCACACTGCCCCCCACAATGCCGGGGATTTACACTCCCACTTTACAAAGAACTAGCCTGATGAGAATCCAGAACAGGAAGAATTGTAAGGAATGGGACATTCTACTAGAAGTTTTCAAAAGTCACCCAGCTAAGGTCCGAGATAGAGCTTTGCCAAGACCCAACTTCAAATAAGAGTTCTAATTAGGATTCACAAAGGCGCATGTCAGAGCCATCCACGTTTATTTGTTCATCCATGAGAACGGGGATGCCTTCATAAGAATATGATAGAATTTCAACTTTGAAAAATAGCCAATATAAAATTCTGGAAGATATAGATAATCAGGGTAGTTGTGTCTCGCAAGATAAAATTTCAGTGATTAAAAACACTGAAACACTAGGACCAGAATAGTCAGTTTATGGAATAAATAGAAAGTCCAAAAGCCCGAGCACATCCAATAAGTTATATTTGATAGTGGGGGTATTTTTAAAAGTGAAGAAAGGACGAATTATCAAGTAATGATGTTGAGACAACTAGCTAACTGTTTGGAAAAAAATAAAATAGGCCCCTAAGTCACAGCTAACACCCCCCAAAAAAGTCCAGATGTATTAAGTATTCAAATCTTAAAGCTTTCAATGGAAGTAAAAGAAAATATAGACGAACATGTATGAATACTGGAATGAAGAAAGTCTTCCTAATTCTGACACCAAAGGCAGAAATTACAAAGTAAAACATTGATTGGTTAGACATATAAAAACTCAAAACCTCTCTATAGGAAGGAACCCATAAACAAAATTAAAAGACAAATGACCAACCAAGAAGGAGAAAAAGTAGCCTATATGTCAATGGATTAATATTTTCAATTATATAAGAACTCTTAGAAACAATATGAAGCAAATTAAGTAATAAAAATGAAATCTCTAAAATCAAAAGTAAAACGAAGAAACAAAACTAATTATATATCCATTCCATAGCATAACCACAGAGAGAAACTATTTGAAGTGATTTTAAAACACAACTTAACTGGGCCTCTCTAGTGGAATAAATCCTAAGGACAAAAAGAATTTCAAAAAGTAACAACAATAAATCTTAAACTGTTTCCAATATTCATACTGTGGGCAATAGTGTTGGTATTGCTATTCTGAGGCTGCGATCGTAACGTTAAGAGCCAGGACTTTTGGTGTGGAGGAAAAGTGATACGGACAGATGTTAGATCAATGAGGTACTATAAAAATCCTGTAGTCCTGAATTTGAAAGGGAAATATCAGTATGAACTCAGAATATATTTTCTTAATTGTATTTCCTATCTCTGTCCACCAAAAGGGCTTAAAAATAATGACAAGACCAGTAGCAATAAGCAGTCTCAGCATCCAGATTGTATCTATAAGTACTGTTTTCCTCTGAAAGAAACCGGGAGTCCCCAGAGATACTAATTCAGGTCTGAGGTAGGAAACAGACAATATAAGCCTGGAGCATCCTTCATACCAGATGGCAAGGAAGCAATGAGACTACTAAGGTCATTCAAAAGGACCCAGGAACCAACCTGAAGAGGTACCCATTGGCCAAAGACAGGACAATCTTTAGCCTCAATAAGGATAACAAGTACAATAAATTTAACAAATCAAATATATTTAAATACATGAGTTCATATGGTGTCTATGGAGGATACTAAGAAACCAACTGCTTATTCTGAAAGGAGAAAAAATCAAACCATTATATTCCTTACCTATATAAACCATACCTCAAGGCAACCAGAGAGTTTGATACAGAGAATTTCTCCTTACAGAAGTTTTCCAGCAAGTAAATCCCAAAGGAATGATAGATTTAGACTATCACAATTTTAGAAATCCCTAATCAATAGACAGATTTAGACAACGATCCTCAATTAATCATCAGTGTCATCACCAATACCATGAAAAGAGGGAAACTGACGTTACGTGCCCCCTGATGGAAGTGCACACCACCATCTATGAAGTGTCCTGTCAAAAAGAATCAAAAATCAAAAAAGCTGAACCCGATCAAGTATTTAGATCTAACTACAAATGTATAGAAAGTTCAGGGGAAAAGGAGACATTACACAGCAGCACAGCAATGCCATCGGCCAAGTCCAGACTGGGAAATTCTACAAGGCAAATAACCCAATTTCTTCGGCAACGACAAAAATAATAAAGATTGGGAGGGAGGGAGGGCGGGAAGAGAGGGGAAAGTGGAAGAGGAATCTATAGATTAAAGAGACTAAAACATGCAAAGGAAAATAGAGGAAATGTGAACAATGAGTAGGTATTGGATGATGTTTAGAAGATCTTATTGATTTTTGTTTTAGTGCGATGGTGGTGGTAGAATGCTTCTTTTGAAAAGGAAGTATCTTTTAGAGATAAATATGGAAATATTGTAGACATAATGATTCGACTATCCGGGAGGAGGTTGGAGAGAGAGAGATTTAGAAGAAACAAGAGTTGCCACATGCTGACAATTGTTAAAGCTGAGCTGCAAGGCCATCGAGGTCCTCATACATTCTCTCTACTTTTATACGTGCTTGAAGTTTTCCACAATAAAAAGATAAAGAAAACAGCAACAAGCAAAAGTTAATTACATCAACTGGGGGAGAAAAGGACTAAGAATGCGATCAGGCAATTTGTAAAAGAAGAAATAGAAATAATCAATATGAAAATGAAAAAGAATCCTACATTAGAAGAAAACCAAAAAAATATAAATTCTTTTAAAAATGAGGTTGCATTTTTCACTTAGCACATCGTCCAAACATTTAAAAATGAACAATACCCCCTGGTGGTAAGGAAATGTGAAAATGAGAATGGCAAACATTAGCCTAAATTGGCTCAGGTTTTCTGGAAACCATGTAACAAAAATCCCCAAGAGGACATGATTATGCGCCAAGGCCAGCAAGGCCAGGTCAGATCTCAGTCATCCCACTTAACTGACAACAGAATGAAAAGCAAGTTTCTTAATTGCCGTGTCTCAGTTCCGAGTCCGTAAAATGACCGTAACAGTGGCAACCCCTCAAAGGGCTGCTGTGAGCCGAAGTCAGAGAATATTCCTAGGGAACTCAGGCCAGTGCCTGCCATAGAGGGCTGGCTCCCATTATTATGTTGGCCCAGCAACCTCACGTCTGAGTATTTATAGTCCTAAGGAGATCTTAATTAAGTGCACAAAGATGTATATACATGTTTGTTTACCATGTCCTAATTTATAAAAAGCCCTAAGTTGAAATGTCTAGTTAAATAAATTTTTGTAATGTTTACCTTGTAATACTATGTGGCCATTATGTTGACACATATGTATTGATGTAAGGACATTTATAATCTTTTTTCAAGAAGGAAAATCAAGCTAGAGAAGAATGAATATAGTTAAATCCTAGGAAGGAGACATATGTACTTTTTTAATCAGGACATGTGTACCTAGATGTTAATGGTAGTTGACTCTGGATTTAGGGGTTATTCAAATTTATTTTTCTTTTTCTTTTTTTTTTTTTAAAGATTTTATTTTTTCCTTTTTCTCCCCAAAGCCCCCCGGTACATAGTTGTATATTCTTCGTTGTGGGTCCTTCTAGTTGTGGCATGTGGGACGCTGCCTCAGCGTGGTTTGATGAGCAGTGCCATGTCCGCGCCCAGGATTCGAACCAACGAAACACTGGGCCGCTTGCAGCGGAGCGCGCGAACTTAACCACTCGGCCACGGGGCCAACCCCTATTTTTCTTTTTGATTATCTGTATTTTTCTAATTTTTCAAGATCAATCTTATTGTTTGCATCATTTTTAAATAATGTAATATGTTACATAGCATGATGATTAATTCTACATTTCAACCTGACTGGGCTAAGGGATGCCCGGAGAGCTGGTCAAACATTATTTCTGTGTGTGTCCCTGAGAGTGCTTCCAAAATAGATTAGCATTTGAATCAGAGTTCCTGGTTCTCAGGCCTTCAGACTCCAGGACTGACATCAAGGGCTTTCCAAGTTCTCCCCAGCCTGCAGGGGGCAGAGCATCGAACTGCTCAGCCTCCAGGACCACGTGAGCCAATTCCTATAAGAAATCCCCTCTTATATATATCCATATATATCCTATTGCTTCTGTTTCTCTGGAGAACCCTAATACACATATGTTCCAAACTTCTTATAAATCTTGCCAGAGGATTTTAAAATGTATGTGAAAGTGGGGAGGGCTAAACAGCATAGAAATGCAAAACTAATACGTCAATCTTCACAGCAGATAGAAAAATATGTTTGGAAACACATAACTTAATAATGAACACTCAAGAACAGAGTCATTCTCATCGGCAATTTTCACCAGTGAGTGTTTGCACGTTACACAGGTACACCGTACAGGTTAATTTATTTCAGAGAAGAAGCAGAAGTGACAGAGTGAGAAAAATGAAGCAGGAGGGAGAAAGGCCGATAAAGGGTGTGTTAACAAGCAGTAACTGCTGCTGGGAGCTGGGGCTCACTCCCCCTGGGGATACTCTGAGAAACTGCAGAACAAGCCTCAGAATTGTCCCACCAAAGCACAGGGAGGCTGGCACAATTACTCACCAACTCCCATCCCACCTTGGCTGTGGGCCGCCCAGGTAGTGGCAGCCCTCCCACACCTCCGGTTGTACCTGCAAGTAGACGGTGCAGCCTTCCACAGCGCCAGAGACAACCCTGAGGCCACAAGCAGAGACCTCAGGGGGCATGCATGATGTGGGCGCCTGGCACGGGAAGGGAAACCAAACCTAGTGAATAGGAAAACACAGCTTTGTGGGTAGAATTCTGAGAGGAGGATGAAGCCCCACCACTCCTCAGTCACTGTCCCTTCTCACACAGCCACTGGATCATCCACCCTACACATTCTCAGCTGTTCAAAGCTATGAGATACACAAAGGGATTTACCCCCCAGCCAGCCAGGGCTGTGCTGGCCCCAAATACCCCATAAGGCCCTTCATAAGCTGTGCTCCGGCCTCACTGAACAGCCCCATGATCCCCTCAAGCCTCCCCACGCGCAGGTCCCCTTTGTTCCAGGCAAGGCTTTCCCTCCCTCACTTCCCCTGTTTCTTCCTCCTAGGACATCAGGGCCTAGCCCAGGTGTCAGGACCACCCAGAGGTCAAAAGAAGCCTGGACGGAGGGCTGGGGAGGAGAGACCTGAGGTGGGGGGAGAGATGGATGAAACAAGACGGGCTGTGTGTTGAGTTGATAATGGTTAAAGCTGGGTGTTGGCAACGTGGTCCTGGCACGCTATTCCCTCTGCTTGTGAGGCGTGGAGATGCACCGCTGGGTCTCCCTCCAGGAAAAAAAAACTGCTGTTCAACTACAAGGAATGAAGTTGGCTGACAGGGCTCGTCTCAGCTTTCAGGTCAGGTCTCCCTCTTCATGGGCCGCCCTACTCAATGGCCGAGCAGGGTGGGGGCACCAGGGCCTGGCCGTTTCTGCCCACTGGGGACTCCCTGGTGGGCCATTCCTGCCCTGGAGCTCTCATTGGGTTGGTGGACTTCAGCTCTGCCTGGTGGTCTGGGGCTCTTCCTGCCTGTTCCTGCTTCCTCCTTCCTCTCCTCCCACCGTAGTCAGACCTGCATCGCACTCTGAGGCCTTTCCCCATCCAAGCCTGCTTCCTCCACCTGCACCTTTCACAGGTGAGGCTCCTCAACAAACCTCTCACACTCCTAACTCCCTCTTGGCAACTGCACCCACAGGATGTAAACCGACACGATTGGGGTGCAGGGTGCTTCACCCCCACCCCTGCCCCCACAGAAGCTCCAAAAATAATGAAGAAATACCAGAGTTATAAACATTGTGTTATATTTAAATGTCCACATATAATAAATGAATGCTTTTCACATTACAAAAAATACAGTGGCTATATATATAACCTAATTTTGGAAATAATATCAAAAATTAAATTTGTGGTCCTGGGGCCGGCCCCACAGCCTAGTGGTTAAGTTCGGCGCTCTCTACTTCGGCAGCCCTGGTTCAGTTCCCAGGTGCGGATATACACCACTCGTTTGTGACCATGTTGTGGGAGTGACCCACATACAAAATAGATGAAGACTGGCAACAGGTGTTAGCTCAGGGCTAATCCTCCTCAAGCAAAAAGATAAAATAAAATAAAATTTGTGGTCCTTTAGGGATATGAGGCCCCAGCCAAGTGGCCCTCCCTCCCACTGCCGTGCTAGACATCACAACTCTGGGAAGCTCTCCAAGATCACCCCAGGCTGCATTGGATGGTCCCGTCTACGCTCCCATAACACCCCAATCTCTGTTACTAGATTACTGTCCCGTACTTTCTGCCCCACCCATCTCTGCCTGCACCTCGACTCGGCAGTGAGAAGCTGGGGGACCTGGCACAGAGCAGGCACTTAGTAAATGACTTTGGATCAATCACTGAATGACCGACTGAGGCACTTGTCACCAAAAGAACCCCACATAGGATTCATCTTCACAGTGCTCCCACAGGTTTACAAACGCTCCGGAATAGAGACCAAGTAGTAAACATTGAGGTGGTGGAAGGAAATTGCTCAGAAGTCCTGTTATAAGCCTTTCTCAAGCTGTGGGAGGACCCATGGGCACCCAGCCAGGCACCGCTGATGCTCTGGGGCAGGACCCCTCACAGGCGGGGAGGGAGAAATTATACCCGTCTTCCGCTGTGCTTCTCTCCAAGGAAGAAGACCTCTCGGTTACTGGCGAAGACAAGACGCCCAGCAGCCTCTTCTGTTGGGTGGGACCTAGCTGGCCCCAGCCAGGCGACATGGCTGGTCCTCTACCCACCAGGTTCTGGGGCAGGATCACCAGCCAGGGACCCTGGGTCGGCTGGGGCTCCAAGAGCTGGCGCCAAACTTCTCTGGGAGCTTTGAACGAGACAAGGGCTTCGGTTTCTCTCTCTGGTCCAGGTCCTGGGGGAGATCTTCCAAAGAAGAGACCTCCAAGTCACTCTCATCGTCAGACAGCTGCGGGAGGTAAATGGGAGAAGAAAATGCGTTCTGCTAAGGGAGGATGGCGACGCAGGATGGACATGGGGCAAAATGCAGACCGGGAAGAAAGCAGCAGGGGGACACCACCCTCCTGCTTTCTCAGGTTTCCCTCTCTTTGAGAACCTGCGTCAGGGACCAGGGGTTAGAGTGACTTCAAGCACTCTTGAAATTCCTCTAGCCAGACCAAGGGAAGCTCCTCGGAAAGCCCTGTGTAGATCAGGTTGCTTTTGTCACTTAAATTTTGTCTAGACTTTTTAACTGCCCAAATTTTCAGAGCTAGAAGCTCAGAGGTTTGACTTTTCTGAATTCCTGAGCTGAATGCACCAGGGGCTAAAGCGCCCACCTGACCTCCTCTCAGACTGCTTCTCTTGGGTCAGGCCAGGTTGGTAATCCAACCAAAGGAGTGCGAGGGGAGCTCCAGATGCCAGGACCCTGCAGCTGGAAGGGGCCTGGGCTGCGGCCAATGGGAGAGCCCAGAGTCAGCAAAGGACGCAGGCTACCAGGATCACAGTCACCCGTCTGGAGTTCTCAGTGCCCATGCCGGGACGAGGCCCAGGCCACCTGGGCTTTGACATAAGCATCCTGTGCATTTTCTCCTGGAATGTAAGGCCACCCAGTCAGAAACCTCCGGGGGCCCAGGGCAGCAGCAGGCTCTGCACAGCGCTTCCCCTGCTTTGCTGGTGCTCTTTCACAACACAGGGAAAGGAATGAATATTTGTTCTAATCATTTGGACTCATGACTCACAAATGTACATGAGCTGTGCAATCAACCAAACACATTATGTAGTAAAGGAGAGAGCGAGTATGCTACCGAGAACCAAGAACTGCTTGCCCACTACTTCTGGGTTTTAGCAATAGCATTGGTCATCCCAGGATGCACCTTTTGGAATGACAAAGGTGAGAATGGAACATGAAGTAACAAGAACTCTAAATGTTTCTGCCTAAGAAAGTAACAGGAATGTGGGAGTTGGTCCCTGACAGGGAGCAGTGAGGGTGTCTGGTCATGATAAGAGTCAGGGAGGCGGAGCATGTGAGCTCTAAATCTGACGGCAGCTAGAGCCTGAGAGAGCAAGATCATCAAGACATTCAGTGATGAGGACAAAGGTGTGCCGTTGTTCCCACTGTATGTTGTCACCTACTCTGATGTGCTATATGATGACACTCCAATGCCCCATCCTTGGGGAGAAATCTGCTCTGCAGACAGCCTTGTGTTGGGGTCCTCGGAGGAGTGAAGGAATGGGGAGGGGTCTGCTGTGGGATCAGCCAGAGCCCGAAGAGGCAGCTATGGCAGGAAGGCAGACCCAGAGCCGTATCCAGGCTCTACCAGAGGCAGGAAATGGAGTGTGAGTGGCCAGGAGAAACAACCTACCATGTAGTTGCCTGAATAATGGACCAAAAGGCCTTTTCATATTAACATGCACACAAGCAACAAGCATTTGAAAGAGGCCATCTCTCCACCTGCACAGGAGCAGAGGAGACAGTGAGGTCACCTGCAACGTCCCTCTAGAGCCAAGACTGACACTTGCAGGACCCTCCCCCAATCCCCACCCTAGGTCCCCCAAACTCAGAGCTGGCTCTGCACGGACTTTCAGGGCAACTTCCAAGCATCCTACACCCTACCTGGGGCTCCCTCCCTGGTGTGGCAGCCCTCTGTGGCCCAGCATCGGGCATTAGGAATAGCTTGACGCCTCCAACAGGCTTCTTCGCCGGAGCCTCCAGCTGCTTCTCGAGGTTCTTGACCATCGACTGCACCAGTGTCTCTGGAAGGCAACCAGAGGCTGTGTCAGCGAGAAAAGCCCAGAGAATGAATGCCTCACCCTTGTGGCTCATGGCAAGGCTCTGGTGTGGACAGAGGGAGTGTGGCAAAGGTCAGAAGGCAGAGGGAAGGACAATCACGAGGAGAGGGGCAAAGAGAGAGAGAAGGCCCAGGCCCGCGTGTGCCGGTGACGCGAGACTCTGAGGATCCTGAAATGTAACAGTGCAGACTTGAGGGCTGGGACAGGGCTGGGACAGGGCCTACATCTTAGGCAGCTGTTCTTCCTTCTTAATAGGAGGCTAAGGCAGAACCTCTGCTCCGTTGGTACATGAACTGCAAAACTAATATGCAGACACATCCTCCTTCAATGTCTTCACAGACACAAGAAGAAATATCATAAATATAAATTAGCACAGGAGGGCTGTGGCCAGTCTTTCTGCAAACTCTGCACAGGAAGGGAGCAAAGCAGTGACCTACATCGTCTAAGGACTCCTGGTGACATGGCAAAGGCAAGGTGGATGTGCGGACCTCAGGAATGATCAAGAAGCAAGGAGCTAACTGAGGCCTTCTGGGTTCAAACGTCAGAGGGCCTGAGCGACATCTGGAGCTAAACAGCCCTTGGCTCATTGGTTCATTCAAGAAATGTTTGCTAAGGGCCTACTACGTACCAAGCACTGTGTTCCTCACCCCCATGAATCATCTTGTCCAGACACATCATTCTACAACAAAGGAAGCGAAACCCCTCCTACAGGCACAAGCAGGTAGCAAGTGACAGAGCCCGAACTGCATCCGAGGACTCCTGACTCCCGGTTCCAAGATTTTTCCACCCTATCACCCTGCCAGGCAGGTTGTCAACACTTCTCCAAAGATCTGGTTCTGGTAGACTCTGATGGACTAGGAGGCTTGGGCTATGCTGTGGACAAGATGAAGGACAGCAGAATCCATCAAGACTTTGCAGATTGCACACACCTGGGCTCACACCCCATTGCTTCCACTTTCCAACTTCAAAAAGACAAAACCATAAGTTCCATATTTTTAAACTAAGCCTTGGCTAGAAAATGCAACTGAAACCAGAAGCCACAGGCCTCATTAATACTTTTAAAGAAAACCTTCGTCACCTGAGGTAGCCAGCCCACCAGAGCCCTTGCCGGGGGGCTGGGCGTTCCCCTCCGACGTCTCGGTGTCAGACCAGTCCCAGTCATCCTCTGGCCGGGACCCCATCCTCGAAGGAACTCTCGGGGGCTGGAGAGACACACGCTGCACAGGATCTCCTTCAGTGTCCTCTTCAGAACTGAACGGGGGCGTACTGCCATGGAGAAGAAACGAGGGACACATGGGCCAGAAGGAAAACTGAAACACATTTCACCACTTGCAAGTGTGTTTGGTCTGCCCAGAGCCAGCCCTGCTCCCTCCCTGGACAGCCAGGAGTCATCCTGGAGCATAGCAGCCACGCCAGCTCCTCCCTTAGAAGATGAAGACCCAGCTATTCCAGTGTGCCAGCTGCTGCCCGGGAAGAGATGGGGAAGGGGCAGGGAGGTTTGTCCTGGCTGGGACCAAAGGGCCCCAGTCTCTTCCTATGAGCTCAGTTTGAACCCCACCTGAGGCCCCTCCTGTTCATTTCTCTCTGTGCCCCTCACATGTCTGCAGAAGCCTCTGGAGAGCCCAGAACAGGGATGCGTGAGGCCGGGAGCCACATCACCAACCCAGGGAGGGTGCAGAGTCCAGGGCTCACCTCAGCCCAGGCCCCGGGGAAGCAGGGGTGCCAGAGGATCCATGGGCTCTGGGGCGCGGAGCTGGGGTGGGCACCTGGACGAGGCCAGGGCCATGGCTGCCACGGCTCTGAGGAGTTGTCATGGGTGGCTCTGCCAGCTTGGACAGCAATGTCACATGCAGGGTCCTGCCCTTTGGCTGGACCTCTTTGGTGAACAAAAGGTTCTGCTGGCTCTTGGCTAGAAACACAGATAAGAATGATTTTCAGAGCATACCCACCTGGGCCCTCAAGCCTCAGAGGATGCCGAGAGAGGCTCCGACACACTAGAAATGGACAAGTCACTCCGCTGCAGTATAACCACAGCAGATTTAATAATTTCCCCCACCCCAGATGTCCCGCTGCTCGCCAGACTTGGGGCTGGGACCCATGGTTTCATCAGAGACCAGGAGAGCAACTGATGTTCCAGGGTTATGTCATCATTCTAGGAGACCCACAGGAGGCTGCATGTCTGCAGTGGGACCCAGCATTGTCTGCAGCTCACCCCCGACATAATCCTAGAGGCCGACCTCGCTAAGGCCGTCTACCCTCTCTACCCACTCAAGCTGCAGTCGCTGGTGTGCGGGCAGCCTTGCAGGAAGGCCCTCCTGCCGCCAGAGGTCACCGCAGGACCACATGGGCTATCAAGACCCACACAACCTCCTCCCAGAACGGCCCGTTGCAGGCAACTAGACACGCCCTCTCTCTTCCAAATTGCATCAAGACCCACAGAGAAGAAGAGGGAGTCCAGAATCAGCAACTGTTTTATGGAAAGATAAGAGGAGAGAAAGTGCACAGCGGGAGTCTTACACGTGTGGATCGAGTCACAGCGTAAGATGTGTTTCTTACTCTAGCTCAAGGTCAAAAAACATTTGAAATACACTGCTCTCAGAGAACGCCGTTACTCAGAAGTGGACCTTCCAGGAGAGCGTCAACGGAAGAGAAAGGGGAGGCCGACAAACTTGCCGAGGGAGAATAACCACAATAGCTACAGTTGCCGTGTACAAACGCAGAGCTAATAAGCACTTCACAACCTCCATTTAGCTGCAGACACCCTCGGAGAGCATCGTTTTCCCTACTCGACAGAGGCTTCGAGAGATTAAGGGACTCGGTGAAAACCCACCATTCCATGGGAGCAAGTGGTAGACGCAAACCCAGGGCACCCCAAATCTACGGCTCTTGCCACCGCCCCTCTACACCCCACTGCTTTGCCCCAGAACAAAGGAGGCCGCGTCTGAGCAGAGACAGGAGGTGAGCATGCACAAGGCACTCACAGGGGACCTGGAAAGAGAAGCGTGTAGCACAGAGCTGGAAAGAGAGGTCACAGTGCTCACCTCACATGTCAGTGACATGCCCTGGAGAAGACAGGACCCCAAGACCAGGAAGGGGAGAGGAGACAAGAGGGCTTCCTGACTACAGGAGCAAGGGCTAGAGGGGAGGGTGGCACCTGGAGGAGCAAGATACCTTCCTCTCCTTGGAAGCCAGGACTCAGGGGTGCTTCCCTTCATCTTCCCTGACTGCCTGTCCCCTCTCCTGGGAGCTCCCACTGCCCTGGGCCTGTCTCCATCACACAACTGTCCCGGCCAGCTCCCCAGCTGAGGTGGCGGCCCTGGCTCAGGTGAGCCTCGGTGAGTCCTGAACTAGATGAGCGAGCGAAGGAAGGAGTGCACACCTGAGCAAGAGAGCAAAGGGCTGGAGCTTAAGCTGAAGTGTGCAAGGCGGGTTAGCCAACAGGACAGATACCCTTCTGTCTGCGATGTCTGTGCACGACAAAGAACCGCCCTTTCCTTACAGCTTCTAAGATCAGACGTTTAAACTAAATAGGACAGTTTCCCAGACCAACACGATTTCCACCATTTCCTCACACCAACGGTCCTCTTATCTATTTAACATTTTTATACTAAACGACGCTACTTTCAACCACAAAATACCTGCTTCATATTTGTCCAAGTAATAATTTCATGCTCTCACAAGACTGCTATGTTAGTAACAGTTTTTCTAATTCACATGGAGAAAAGGAAAGATTAAATTTTAAAATTATTGGTCCATAGACCAACTAAAATTATCTCTCATTTCCCTAGAGATATGTGGACCACAATCTGGAAAATTCCTCTGCGCAAAGAGCTCAGGTTGGGTCTGCCTGGACAGAGGAAGTGATGTTCCTCTGGCTGAGTATGTCCGTGACTGAGAAGACGAGTGAAAGCAGCCGGGGCATCCCCCTGCCTGAGCAGCCCAGACTCATTGAAGCACCACCCCCCCCCCCAAGGCCTCCAGGTACAGCAGCCCAGTGGATCTTGGAATCCTCCAGAAATGGGGGGCTCTTGAACCTAGGAACACAAGTTCCCTTTCTCCCTAAATTCCTTGAGGACAGAGGCTGGAGGCCCTCGCCCTCATACTTTAATCCTCCACGAGAACCACAGGCCTTCCCTTGTCACGGCCCCGGGGGCAGAGGAGCAGCAGTGACTCGGCCCAGGGAACACGTCTGAGCTCTGAGGATTTGTCCATGCAGAACTGGCCCAGCCCCCACGCCCACCCACTGCCCCAGAGCAAGTTTTCATCTGATGAATATTTGCCGCCATCTGCAGCCCCAGCGCTCCCAGGCCCAGGGCCTGTCTCCTAGCACCGACATGCCTGGTTTAGAGAGAAATACCAGAAACCCTGCTGGAGCAAAGTTCAACTTGTGGTAAAGCAGAGCAGAACCAAGCTGCCGAGCGAGGCTGCACGTCAGAGCAGGGACATCCAGGGCTGGCCACGAGCTCTAGCACTGGCTCTCCTCTGCTTCCCTGAGGCATCCCAGGCCCGGGCCACCCCACCTCACCCCAGACTTCTGGACTCAGTCCCCTGTGAGGACCCTATCATCTCGTCCTTCAGAGCCATGTCCCGGTGCGGGCAGGGATTACACCCTGCTCACATGCAAATAAGCCTTGGCAAGAACCAAACCCTCCCAGGTCACAGCCCCCAAGCAAGCCTCTCACCAGCTTACCTGGAGCCTGGCCGTCCTGCTGGGACCCTGCAGCCCTGTTCCTCTGTTTCTCCTTCACTCTGCTGGTGGCTTCCTTGACGAGTTTTTCCCTCAGACTCAAAAATTCAGAAAACCTCCCCGCCTTCTGCTCCCGCTGGGCTCTCAGGAGGGACTCCAGGTGTCTGAGAGTCTGCGCAGGGATTCCCTTGGCACCCTAGAAGAGATAGAAGTTCCCCTCTGGAGACAGGGGCTCCCCTTCTCCTCCTTCTCCTAAGCCTCTCAACCTGCTGCTGCTGGCCTGGAAGTCACTGTCATCAGCACCGGAGTGTTCTGGAGGAGGATGAGATGAGCATCACAGCAGGGTGAGCAGTAGCTTCCCGTCCTGCTGAAAGTGGGCTGGTTTAGGGTCCGGGAGCCCCGTCAAAATGCACATAGCGGGATGACGCAAAGGGCTGCTTACAATTCCATCAACACCACGGCACAGGGGGTCTAGACGGGACATCACAGTACAGGGGGCTTGGACAGGACTTAGACAGAACACCACAGCACAGGGGACTTAGACAGGACATGCTTTTCCTCCACCCAATTGAATCCTGGGATGGGGGAGCATGACGTGCTCCTTTTCGTAACCCAGGCACTATTGTTATGCACTGTGGCTAACAATGCTTGAAAAAATCAACTACAAAAAACAAAAGCCAGGTACCCTTCAAAGACCTATTAGAAGCTGCTTGGGCTCTGACATCCACCCAGAGCCCATGGGAGGGTCTTAGGAGGCATCCGAATCCCAGATGAGGATTCATTCAGGTTAGAAAGAAATGTTTTAATCGGGTCTGAACATAGGCCCAAAGTTAGATTAAGCAGGAGTTGAAAACCGCCAAAGATGAGTGAGTATCCTTACGAAATTAAACCTAGGTGTCCTTTTTTTTTTCTAATCTTACTCTACACAACAGTATTTTCAATGACATGATCATTCGGCTACTTTAGTAACAAGGTATGTTTTCATTTAATAACAGATTTCATTAATGCCCTTCACGATAATATGCATGCTCTGGTTAAACACAGGCATGAAGGAACAATGGCATTCGAATACTAATTTGTACCAGACCCAGCTTTCAGAGCCTGTCCCACCCGCAGCCGCCTGCTGGATGGGCGTGGCCACGTGTGCCATGGACGATGGACTCTCCATCCAAGGGACCCATCCAGAGGTCAGATTGAACCAATTAAATTCCCTCTGCAAGAAAATTTAACTAGAGACACAGAAGAAAGCAACCAGTGAGTGGAGAGCACGGAGAGCTCAGGACGCAGGGTAGCGTGTCAGCCAGGTAGGGCTGATCTCAAGAGGCTGTTGGAGGAGACAGAGAAGAGACCACACTGCACTGGGAGATGAGGGCGAAGCTGTGGGGCTTTATATTCCCGGACACCAAAGGCACCCCAATAGGAAGAAATAAGATGAATAAGCTTATAAAGTAAAGAATAATTGATCATTTGTCAGTTTAAGAACAGCCCCTGCCTACATGGTGGGTATTGGCCCTTACAACAGTAGCCCTGGGCTTACCCTCTTTATCCCCATGCTTTCCAGTTTCTCCTCCAGGGTGTCCTCCAGGACTGGCCTGAACTGCTTCAGCAAGGTGGGGTTTCGCCTCAGAGCTGCCAGCACCTTCTGCTGTCCATCTCGGGAGGCCTCCAGTTCTGCAGCACAGTCACCTAGGTCAGCCTGGGCACCTGCAGCATCCACTCCTAAAGCCCCACTGCACCTGCCTGGCCCTCACTCGGCCAGTGATCCTGGTCTCCAGCCCGTGAGCCCAGGGCCACTGACCCTACCCAAGTGTCTGTCCCAGGGTCAGAAGCTGGGATGTCTCTGCTCCTGGGTACCACTGCCTCAGACCCCCCACCCACCTTCAGGATTCTCATCGCCTGCCAGTCTGGACCTGCAAGATCTGGGCTCATCCTGTCCCAGAATAATGGGGCATTTGGGCTTTCGACTTCACTTGAGTCCTGACTGCAGCTTGTTCCTTGGACTCCATTCTGACCCCAGATTCCAGGCCCTGCCTGCTGCCAACTCCAGCCTAGCCCTGGCCCCACCTGATGCCCTCATCCCATTGCTGCGCCAATTCTGTTCCCGTCCAGGGGATACAATGGTGGACACAATAGACAGGTCCCTGCTCCCTTTGAGTCTACTGTCTAGATCAGGGCTTCTCCCTCCAGTTGCCATAAACATCAGAATCACCTGGGTTCAAAAGGCACCTTCCCTGGCCCCACACTCCAGAAAGTCTGATTGCACAGATCTGGGGAAGGGCCCTGGAACCTGCATTTTAACTTGCCTGGATGATTCTGACAGAGGTGAGCCACAGACCCCACCTTAAGAAATACCAACCCAGAGGGCAGCAAAGTGAGCAATTACAATAAAATGTGGTAACTGCTGCAAAGGGGCCACCCACGGTGAGACACACAGGCCCCCCAGAAGCACCCTTCAGGACCACTGGGGGGCCACTGTGGTCAGGGCTGGACCAGCCCTGTGATGCACTCAACAGACATTTACTGACAAGTAAGATGAGTGTGAACAGGCCAGAGCTGGGTGCTGGGGACACAGAAGAAAGCCATCTCTCTTCTCTCAAGGAGCTCAGTGTCCAGGGTGGCAATCTCAAGCCTGGCTGCAGACCTGAATCACCCAGGGCCCAGCCCAACAATATCAGAATCTCTGAGGGTGGGCCCCAAGCCTTAAGAGTGATTTTTAAAGCTCCTCAGATCTTCAAACAAATAGCCAAGCCTGAGAACCGATTGTTCTAGAGCAGTGGTTCTCACAGCGTGAGCCACAGCATGGGCTTAAATAAATTTAGTTTCATCCATCCAATGGAATATTGCAAAGCCCTGAAAAAATAACGAAGCAGCTCTACATAAAGGGATATAAAATGACTTCCCAAATAAGCTGCTAAGGAAATAAATAACTGCAGAACATGTAAAGTGTGCTCCCACTTGGGAAAAAGGAAAGGAATGCATACACATGTGCGCTTGGATTTGCACCAAGTATCTCCAGAAAGATACACGAGAAACACTAACAGTGGACTGTCTGGGTGGAAACTGGACAGCCCGGCAGGAGGGACCCCCACTTCTCACAGCACATCCTTTCACAGTCTTTCTTTTCTTTTGTTTTTTCCCCTTTTTTGACCATCAGCATAGATTACTGTCTCAAAAGTACAGAAAAATATTATATTAAAAAACAAAATAAAATACTCATGATGAACTCTTTGGTGACACAGATAAAACCCTTTCCCGGGTGCATCTGCTGCTGACTTTGAACTGTCCCATCCCAGCCCGGCTGGTGCGGGCAGGCCCGGGTCAGCAGGCTGGCTGTGCGCACTCGCTCGTCTTCCCTGGAAGCTCCTTCTCCCCTACCAACCCAGGAGCTCCCCGTGGTTAGGGAGCATTGCTATTTTCTTCGCTTCTCCTTTGCATGCCCTCGAGACCTCTGGTTGAGAGCTCTGCAAATCGGAGGCGGTCACCGAATGGAGTGAATTACAACAGCCGGGACCCGGTGCTCTGAAGAGAGAGCCGAGGCGGACGCCTGCACACCAGTTAGGCCTGCATAATGTGTCTGCAGCACAAGCACCACACAGAACAAAACAGCAAAGGCCGTTTGAAGCCAATGCAGTGACTCCTCATCCACTGCTCCAGACAGTACCAGGGGAGAGGCGGTGGGGCAGGCACAAGGGACAGGCTGTGCATCAGATGCCCCCCCAAATCCTGGCTCCACCACCTGCTGGCTCTGTGACTCTGAGCAAGTCACTGACCCTCTCTGAGCCTGGGTTTCCCCATCAGTGAACCAGCAGATTGCATGTTAGTACCCGCATGTCACATGCTGGCACACACAAGGTGCTTAAGAAATATTTATTTCACGTCCCTAGTTCCCTGCACCCCGTTCAGTGGGCCAGATACACTTAAGTAGAGCCAAACTAAACAATGAGAGGGCAGTGAACCTGTTTTCTGCAGTGGACACCAGGGAAGAAAATGAGGTCCCACCTTCCTCGGAAGAGTCCTCTTCTGTGTCCACAGCCTTCGGGCCCTCGCAGATCCCTGAGGAGAGGAGGAACAGTTAGTGGCTCCAATACCTGGACCCCATCCCTGACTCTGAGAAAAGCATGGGACACCATGTGAGTGGTGGCCAGAAAGAGCAAGCCCTTCAGCTGTTTCTTTCCCAGAGAGAGGCAGGATGGAGCAGTGGTCACAACCAAGGACACTGGAGGCAGAAAGATCAGAGTTCACGTTCCAGCTCTGCCCCTCACTAGCTGTGCGTGACATGGCAAGTCCTTGAACCCCTCTAAGTCTCAGTCTCCTCATCTAGAAAATTAGGATAATAATACCCAGCCCACATGAAATCGTGGGGACAAGGTAAGGAGAGAAGGAACCTGAAGTGCCTGGCGCAGCGCACGGCACTCAGTGGTTATTAATGGCTCCCATCCCAGCCATGGCACTGAGAAAGCTCAGGCCCACAGGAACAGGACATCTCCGAACTAGTTGCAAGGCTGGGAAAGAAATGTCTGGTCTTGAGGCAGGGGATGGGCAGAGATGGGTGGGTTTGCAGGAAAAAGCAGAAGTGTAGCTAAAGGGCCAGGCCAGGGGAGGTGGTAGAGTGGGAAGGCCAGGTTCCTCCAGGGGCTGGTCAAGGGTCAGGAGCAGTCCCCTGTAAGGTACCATCTCCCTCTAGACACCAACACCTGCACTCCATTACACACTCACACATGCGCACACACCAGCACACCAGAGTACCCAAGAGGAGGGGCATGTACACCCCAAACAGGCCACATTCACATAGATTTGGGGTCAACTTGCTACATGCTGGGAGCAAAGCAAAGGTCAGTGGCCTGAACCACAGGCATGTGACTTAGAAAGAGCTTGTTCAGGAACCCCACTGCACCCATCACTGCCTCCAAGATCCCCACCCTCCCCACGTCTCCACCACCCCACAGAGAAGAGCAAGCCAGGCAAGGACGCCTGCCCGCTGCATAGAATGCCTTCAGCACAAACACCAGGCTGGAGCCCTGTCTGTCCCAGAAGCAATCGTCTTCTCTCTTCTCAACTCCCCTCGCCCAGCCAGAGAACCTGACACCACATGTCCACGGGCAGCTATCACCCATCCTCATCCTATAAATTGACTGGTGGGCGACAGAAGAGAGAGGAGGCCAAACAACAGCCAAGACTGTTCCAAACCACCCCGTGGAGACTTACCCTCCGCTTTCCTGAGAGACATGGTCTGGATCTGCAAAGATGTGGAAGAGAACAGGTTACGGCCAGCAAGGAACTCTGCTCTGAGCAGCGGGTCTGCCTAGCACCGTGAAGAAGGGATGGCCACTAAGTCCCGGCTACCTACTGGGAACTGGAAGGAGCTCAGAGTACACTGCCCCAACCCCCAGTTCATCTCCTGCCACCCAGAAGTGAGAGAAGATGGCACCAAGGTTGAATGGCAACAACCAGGATGGCACCCTGCTCCATTTTCCCATGGCGGGGAGGCAAGAATGCCCCCTCTTCAGAGACTATGGTTTGAAGGGCAGGAGCCCCCGGCAAACAGAGGGGGACAGGCACACAGTCAGTACTATTGGTACAGTTAGAGGAAGACAGCCAGGGCAAGGCAGACATCTGAGCTGAGCGCCCCCTGGGACAAAGGAGGCATGATGCTGATGGTCACTGAACTGTCTGCTCAACTCCCCTTTTCCAGGAAGGGAAAGCCTTTTCCAGGCTCAACTCCCCTTTTCCAGGAAAGCCTCTTCTTCCTCCTTCCACACAGTTGCAGACGGGGCAGCCACTTAGGACAACGTGACCCCAGACCTCAGCCATGGCTGACTGTCCAGCTTTGGGCAGAGAATTCCAGACTGGTAACATGTGAAGTCAAGAACTATGGGCAGGGGCCAGCCCCGTGGCTGAGCGGTTAAGTTCGCACGCTCCGCTTCGGCGGTCCGGGGTTTTGCCAGTTCGGATCCTGGGCGCGGACATGGCACCACTCATCAGGCCACACTGAGGCGGCGTCCCACACAGCAAAGTCAGAAGGACCCACAACTAAAATATACAACTATGTACTTGGGGGGGGGAGGGGGCTTTGGGGAGGAGAAGGGAAAAAAAAAGATTGGCAACAGTTGTTAGCTCAGGTGCCAATCTTTAAAAAAATAAATGAATAAAATTAAAATTAAAAATATATGGCTTGCTTTGAATGTGGTCATTAAAAAAAAGAGCTATAGGCAGTCAACTGGTTTTGGTTCTCTTTGTTTATTTATTTGTTTGCTTGTTTGTTTCGCCATGTGGGACAGATATGGAGTGGAAGCTGATCTTCAGAGTAAAAGAAAAACTTGAAGCAGATACAGGGAAAGGAACAGAGACACAGAGCAGAGGAAAATCCTGACCACATTCATGCCTCCGGTTCCAGTTTACTCCAGGACTCAGCTGCTCCCCTGCCTTGAGCTCTGTGAGATACCCTGTCTACCTTAAAACAAATTCCTTCTTCTGCTTAAGCTTGACTCGTTTTTATTACCTGCTGATGAATGACTCATCCAATGTCCATTTCCAACTGTTTCCTCCTTTGCCCACCTCTATTCTAGAGACTGTAAAACTAATTATTCAGTTTCTAACCTTCCTGGCAGCTATAGTTGCCCATGTAACACAGGTTTAACTGATAAAACACAAGAAGTCTTGGGAAGGGGCCTTTTCATCAACTTCTTCCATTGAATATGGTCGTGATGGATGGGGCTACAGCAGCCATCTTGCAACTATCAGAGTCAAGCATGAGAGCAAAAATCAACATGCTAAAGATGGTTAAAAAAAAAAAACACAGTCTGTATTTCCAATGGCATAATTTTGCTACCAAACTAAGGCCAACAACTGTCACCTCTTTTGGTGTCACAATAAAAATAAACCTCTATTAACCTATTTTGTTATGTTTAGCCAGCGGCTTCCTAACTGAAACATCTGCAAACAAGAGCTCTGGGTAACGTAAGGAGGAAACCTCCAGTCTGGACCTGAGGTGGCCCCAGCAGTGAGGAGCTAAGTGTTTTAAGGGGAACAGTAAAAAGAAAAGCAGCAAGGGAGTGGGTTAGATACGTTGACTGGGTGCACTATGGCTGGGGTGCAGGAAGAATGGACTAGATGGGTCAGTGGGTTCTCAGCCCAGGGAAGCTGTGTGGGAGGTGGTGTCAGAACCATGACAAGGACCTGAGACCACAGGAGGGGCCCAGCTGGGGAGAGATACACTTCTCCACCAAGCTGGGGCTCAGAATGGGGAGCTGAGCCCGGGCTGGGCAGAGAATTACCAGCAACAGGTGAAGAGTCACAGGGCCCAATTCCAGGAGAGGCTGCTCAGTGAGTAAGTGCCTTTCCATCACACTGGTTTACCTGACAACCTCATCAGAGGCTGTTCACTTACGAAAAAGGTGTTGGTTGAGAAGCTGTGTCTGAGAACAAAGTGAAAAGAGCACAAGCTTTGCGTTCCACCTGCCTGGCTAGGGGTGACTCTCACCCCTGTCACTTAAGCCCTGTGTGGACTTAAGCGAGCGCTTGACTTCTCCAGCCTGCCTTGTCATCTGTCAATTGAAGATGGGGAGACGGTGATGTCTACCTTGAAGATCATGAAGTAAAAGCAAAGTATCGACCAAGTGCTGGCACATATATGGTCTCTGGTGTCACTGTGAAGCCACTACACAACCCCAAGGACAACAGCACATCTGCAGCCTGGAGGGAGGCAGGCCGATCCTCTCCACTTTGTGCCCCTCCAGCCTGAGGACTCTTCTGGTTCCTTAAAGAGCCTGACTAACGGAACTAGCGCCGATGAGTCCAGAGAATCTGATATCCTCCCAGGAAGAGGCCTAGGGGACCAGGGCCTGGCTGGGAGGAGGGACAGACCTACCATCTCCTCCTGGGAGGCGATGAGCCTGGCTTGTTCCTGGAGCTGGGCGTGGAGGGCGCTGATCTGGCGCTGGGCCTGGGCCGCTGCTTTCCTCTGATCCTGAGACAGGGAGGCCTGGAGCCTCTCGTTCTGTTCCTGCAGCTGGTGGGCACAGGGCAGTCGGTCAGTCACATGTCTGCAGGGATCTGTGAGAGCCCAGAGTTGGCCGTGCCTGCACCTGCGGGCAAACGCTGGTTGGGGTTCCACCTAAAGCAGGGTACAGCATTTCCAGACCCAGGCAGGTGGCTTCCTAACAAGACTGACCACCTTCCAGGGGACATTTTCAAGCTGTGCCTGAGGAGAAGTCAGAACTGAATGCAAGCACCCAGGATCAGGGCAAAAACGCTCTCTGCCAGGGGTGGCCCCACTGAAGGACGGCAGGTAAATGGAGGCCATTTAAAAATCATCACATAGATGATTTTAGGTGAAAACAAAAGGTGAAGAAAATGTGGTAACATGCTGCCTCCGGTGTAAGAGCCGAGAGAAAATGAGACTATCTATGTATATTTGCATAAAGAAACTCTAGAAGAATGCACAGGAAAGCAATACAAGTGGTCACCTGTGGGGTGGGAGTCGGGGACAGGTAGATGGAGACAGGGTGGAAGTCAGACTTCACTCAGTGTACCTTAATATATTTTTTCTACTTTTGGAACAAATTTGAATGTATTTCCCATTTTTAAGTATTTCAAATAAAATAAGCCCACCAGGTGGGAATTACGGGCACAGGGTGTCCACCACATGCCAGCCTCTGATCAAGCCCCTTCATGTGAGGTTTCTGCTGGCAGAACCTGGGCTCTTGGTCATCGGCTTCCTCCTCATTTTGCCACCTCCTCAGGGACATTTTTACAGAGGCTGTTTGCCCTGCCCTGAGGCCTGCCACTCTCTGTTCACGGATCTCAGTATCTGAGCTCTCCCATGTGGGCTCCGCCTGAACTCCCACCGAGGGCCACAGCCTCCTGGTTCCCTCCTGGGTGGGATTTCAAAGAAGAGCCCAAACACAAAAGACCAGGCAATTCATCTGAGTTTACCGCATAACCCTCCTTGGAGGGCTGAAGGGGTCGCTACAGAGGGGGCCACAGAGTAAAGGATGTGGTGGGTTCAGAGGGAAGGCCTGGAGGCTGCTGCTCCTGGCCAGGGAAGCTGCTCTCTGGGCCACTGACTCCTTCTGTGTATTGATGGGGGCCAGCAGCCAGGAACAGTATCAACGATAAAGTATCCGCCCACCAGTTTCAGGTCGGGGTGAAGGATGGGGGTGCCGAAGGATGCGAGGAGGTCACGGGAAACCAAGCTCCCCCAGACCAGCCAGCGACACCTACCTCTTTCTTCTGAGCTGCATGCTGTTCCTGCAGTTCCTTCATTCTCCTCTTCCATTCTGTTTTCTGAAAAGAGAACAGGTTTATCAAACGGGCCTCTCTAGATATTAAAATACAATACAAAGCTACAGGAATGAAAAAGTGCTGGCTCATGATGAGGCAGACAGAGCAGTGAAGAGGACAGAAAGCCCAGACAAAGATGGGGGAAAACAGAATCTTAGTCTGGGGGAAGATGGGTTACTGACAGGTGATGTTCAAACAAATAGCTAACTGTCTGGAAAAAAATATGAACTTGGATCCTTATTTCATATCTTACCCAAAATAAATTCTAGGTGGGTCAAAGACTTAAAATAGCAGTGACATCAGCAAGATGGCAGAATAGGATGCTCCAGCCCTTGAACCACTGGCAGATGACAATACCTTTATGGGAGCCCAGGAACCCAGCCCAGAGCGTCAGCACCACAGTGGAGCAAGAAACCCAAGAACAGATGCATTGCAGAGGTAAGAAGATCACCTTACCATCAGCCTTTCCCCAAGGCAGCCAGCTCAGTGGTAAGAGAGAGCCCCTCAGCCTGCAATTTCTCCCATGGGGGAAAATGAGAGAGAGTGCCCAGCCTGAGGAACACTGCCCAGGGGGCCCACTCTGTCTCACCCCGCCCAGGACTAAAGGAATCGGCACAGCTGAACTAGCTCTTGGTGCTGGCAGATGGATCTCAACAACTGGCCGCAGATGCTGCTGGCCGGCTTGTGGACACCAGGAAGTATGGAGGAGGAGAAGTAAAGTGTAGAGTATTGTATGCAATCAGAGTTAAGTTGTTATCAACTGAAAATAAGCTGCTGTAACTACAAGACATTTATGCAAGCCTCATATGATCACAAAGAAAAAACCTGTAGCAGATACATAAAAGAGAAAGAGAAAGAAATCAAAGCATTCCACTACAAAAAAAATCATCAAATCACAAAGGAAGACAGCAAGAGAGGAAGAAAGGGACAAAGGAACCACAAAACAGTCTGAAAATTAACAAAATAGCAACGGTATGTCCTTACCTATCAATAATTACTTCAAATTTAAACAGATTAAATTCTCCAATCAAAAGATGAAGAGCAACTGAACGGATGAAAAAAACAAGATCCAGGGGCCAGCCCAGTGTCATAGTGGTTAAGTTTGTGCACTGTGCTTCGTCAGCCCAGGGTTTGCAGGTTCAGATCCCAGCCAATTACCTACATACTGTTCATCAAGCCATGCTGTGGTAGCATCCCACATACAAAATAGAGGAAGATTGGCACAGATGTTAGCTCAGCAATAATCTTCCTCAGGCAAAAAGAGTATTGGCAACAGACATTAGCTCAAAGCCAATCTTTCTCACCACAAAAAAAAAAAAAAAAAAAAAACAAGATCCAATTATATGCTGCCTGCAAGAGACTCACTTCAGCTTTAAGTACACACATAGGCTAAAACTGAAGGGATGGAAAAAGGTATTTCATGCCAATGGTAACCAAAAGAAAACAAGGGTAATGACACTTATATCAGACAACATAGACTTTAAGTCAAAAACTATTACAAGAGATAAAGAAGGTCTATATATAATGATGAAGGGGTCAATTCATCAGGAGGATATAACAATTGTAAATACATATGCACCCAACATCAGAGCACCTAAACATATAAAGCAAATATTAACAGAACTGAAGGGAGAAATAAACAGCAATACAATAATAGTAGGAGACTTCAATACCCACTTTCAACAACAGATATATCATCCAGACAGAAAATCAACAGTGAAACAGTGGACTTGAACAGCACCATAGACCAAATGGACTAAACAGACATATACAGAACACTCCATCCAAAAGTAGCAGAATACACATTCTTCTCAAGCACCCAACGAACATTCTCCAGGATAGATCATATGGCAGCCCACGCAACAAGTCTTACCAATTTAAGCTTGAAATCAGATCAAGTTAATCTTTTCCAACCATAATACTATGAAACTAGAAATCAATAGCAGGAAAGAAATAGGAAAATTCACAAATAAGTGGAAATTAAACTACACACTCCTGAACAACCAACGGTCAAAGAAGAAATCAAAGGGGGAACAAAACATATCTTGTGACAAACAAAAGTGGAAACACAAATATCAAAACTTATGGGATGCAGAAAAAGCAGTTCTAAGAAGGAAGTTTATATCGATAAACTTCCACATTAAGAAAACAGAAAGATGTCAAATTAGCAACCTACTTTTGCACCTCAAGGAACTAGAAAAAGAACAAACTAAGCCCAAAGTTAGCAAAAGGAAGAAAATAATAAAGATTAGAGTAGATATAAATGAAATAGAGAATAGAAAAGATCAACAAAACAGAGTTGGTTTTCTGAAAAGATGAAATTGACAAATCCTTAGCTAGGCAAAAAGAAAAGATAAGTCTCAAATAAATAAAATCAGAAATGAAAGCAGAGATGTTACAACTGATTCCACAAAAATGCAAAGGATCACAAGAGACTACTACAAACAATTATACACCAATAAATTGGATAATATGGAAGACATGGACAAATTCCTAGAAACATACAACCTACCAAGACTGAGTCATAAAGAAACAAAATATCTGAACAGATCAATAAAGAGTAAGGAGATTGAATCAGTAAACAAAAATCTCCCAATAAAGAAAAGCCTAGAACCAGATGGCTTCACTGGTGAATTCTATCAAACATTTAAAGAATTAATGCAAATTATTCCTAAATTCTTCTGAAACATTGAAGAAGGAACACTTCCAAACTCATCTTATGAGGTCAGCATACTCTTATCAAAAGTCAGACCAGGGAACTACAGGGAAAAAAATTACAGGCCAATATCCCTAATGTACATGGATCAAAAATCCTCACAAAATACAAGCAAATCAAATTCAACAGCACATTAAAAGAACATACATCATTATTAAGTGGGATTTATTCCAGGATGCAAGGATGGTTCAACACACACAAATCAATAAATGTAGTAAAACACATTAACAGAATGAAGGACAAAATCATATGATCATCTCAACAGATGTGGAAGAAGCATGTGACAAAATCCAATATCCTTTCAGTACAAAAACTCTCAACAAATTAGGTATAGAAGGAATGTATCTCAACACAATAAAGGCCATATATGAGTAACACATTCAACAGTGAAAAGCTGAACACTTTTCCCCTAAGACCAGCAACAAGACAAGCATGCCCACTCTCACCACATCTATTCAGCATAGTACGCGAAATCCTAGAAAGAGCAATCAGGCAAGAAAAAGCAATAAAAGGCATTCAAATTGGAAAGGAAGAAGTAAAATTCTCTCTATTTGCACATGACATGATCTTATACATAGAAAACCCTAAAGACTCCACCCAAATAAAAACCGTTAGAATAAAAATTCAATAAAGTTGTAAGATACAAAATCAGCATGTAAAAATCAGTTGCATTTCTATACATTAACAACAAACTACCCAAAAAAGAAATTAGGAAAACAATCCCATTTACAGCAGCATCAGAAACAACAAAATACATAGGAACAAATTTAACCAAGGATATAAAGATCTATCCACTGAAAACTATAAAACACCAATGAATGAAGTAGAAGACACAAATAAATGGAAAGATATTCTGTGCTCATGGACTGGAAGAATATTGTTAAAATGTCCATACTACCCAAAACAATTTACAGAGTCAATGTAATTCCTATCAAATTTCTAATGACATTTTTCTCAGAAATAGAAAAAAAAATCCTAAAACTCATATGGAACCACAAAAGACCCCAAATACCCAGAGAAATCTTGAGCAAAAAGACAAAACTAGAGGCATCACTTCCTGATTTCAAATTATATTATAAAGCTATAGTCATCAAAACAGTATGGTATTGGCATAAAAGCAGACACATAGACCAATGGAATAGACTATGGAACCCAGAAATAAACTCACACATATACAGTCAACTAATCTTCAACACAGACACCCAGCATACAAAATACGGAAAGGATAGCCTTTTCAATAAATAGTGCTGGGGAAAATGGATATACACATGCAAAAGAATGAATTTGGACCAATATCTTACACCATACACAAAAATAACTCAAAATGGATTAAAGATTTAAATGTAAGATCTGAAACCATAAAACTCCTAGAAGAAAACATAGAGGAAAAGCTCCTTGACATTGGTCTTGGCAATATATTTTTGGATGTGACATCAAAAGCACAGGCAACAAAAGCAAAGCTAAACAAGTGGGATTACCTCAAACTAAAAGTTTCTGCACAGCAAAAGAAACAATCAACAAAATGAAAAGGCAAGCTACGGAACGACAGACAATACTTGCAAACCATATATTTGATAAGAAGTTAATATCCAAAATATAAGGAATTCATACAACTCAATAGCAAAAAACAAACAACAATTAAAAAATGATCAAAGGACTTGAATAGACATTTCCCCAAAGACCTACAAATGGCCAAGAGGAATATGAAAAGGTGCTCAACATCATCACTCAGCAGAGAAATGCAAATAAAACCACAGTGAGCTATCACCTCACACCTGCTGAGATGGCTATTATTTTAAAAAAACAAGAAGATATGTGTTGGCGAGGATGTGAAGAAAAGGAAACTCTTGCACACTGTTGGTGGGAATGTAAATTGGCACAGCAATTATGGAAAACAGTACAGAGGCTCCTCAAAACATTAAACACCGAGAGTTACTCATTTTCCCTGGGTATCTCCCAAGTATATATGAGGTATACATGTTAATAAACTTGTTTATTTTTCTCTTGTTAAGATAAATTAAAAATAGAACTACCATATAATCCAGCAATTCCACTTCTTGGTGTTGATCCAAAAGAATTGAAATCATGATCTCAAAGAGATACCCACAATTCCATGTTCATTGCAGCATTATTCACAACAGCCAAAATATGGAAACCTAATAATTCATCAACGAATTAATGAATAAAGAAAATGTAGTATATAAATACACTGGAATATTACTCAGCCTTAAAAAAGAAGGAAATCTTGCCATTTGCATCAACATGAGTGGACCTAGAGGACAGCATGCTAAGTGAAATAAACCAGATACAGAAAGACAATACTACATGATCTCACTTATATGTGGAATTTAAAATAGTAAAACTCATAGAAATAGAGAGTAAAATGGTGACTGCCAGGGGCTAAGGTGAGGAGAAAATGGGGAGCTTATGGTCAAAGAGCACAAAGTTTTTATGCAAGATATATATATATACACTGTATTGTATACTTAAAATTTGCTAAGGAAGTAGATCTCATGTTAAGTGTTATTACCACACACACAAAAATAATAACAATAATAAGGATGGGAGGAAACCTTGGGAGGTCATGGATATGTCTACAGCCTGATGGTGGTGATGGTTTCAAGGGTGTATACTTATCCCCAAACTCATTGAGTCATATACATTAAACATATACAGCTTTTTACATGTCAATCGTACCTCAGTAAAGTGGTATGTATGTATGAATGAATAAATAAATAAGGCCACGAAAGCACTAAAAGAAAACGCAGGAATATTTTCTTTTTAAATCTCACAGTGGCCATAAACAAAAGATTGATCATTTTAACCACATAAATAGTATTGATTTTGTATGGCCAAAGCCACAATAAACAAAGTTGAAGGACCAACAGAAAATTGGAGAAGATAGCCACAACAAGAACAAAGGACTGGCTTAATTTCCATACATTATATAAACTCACAAGTTGGGACGGAAGTCAACAGAAAAATAAGAAAGGATGTAAACAGAGTTCATAGAAGAAGAATGGCTTTCTTTAATGTGAAACTTGTGAAACATCCACCAGTGGAAACGTTTTACTGCTGACTGTTAGACATTAAGCTCTTTGTTAACATTCTTGGAAGACAGGAACAGAAGCACAACATCATCTAATGACTGTGCCAACTGCCCTTTCTCATCATGGAATCACCATGATACAGACCATGTATAACTGGACTGTTTGTAAGATTCATCCAGCAGTGGCCAGGGCCACCTCCTACCAGTTCAAGAGAGAGGATTGTGCACAAGTTGTCCCAATTCATATGCAGTGACCTTACATTGGTGGCACGAAATCAGCCATGGTGGGAATATTTATACCACGGAAAATGACAAGTGCTACAAATCAAAGCTTTTTTAGTTACAGAGAGCCAGTTGTTAAATATTTACCATCACACCATTCATCCCAAATATTTTCAAATCCAAGCGATTGTCACACTTTCTAAGAGTTGTTTTCAACTGGGTTGGACTCAAAATGAAGATAAAAGTGCAAAATAAGAGACACAGCTGTACATATTCTGATATTGCACACATGTACATCACCAGCCTCACCTGAGAAGCCAAAGAACCCTATTCTGTGCTTTCACATCCTGGCAGAACAAGAATCTTTGTTGGAAGACAACATGCCTCTTGGCTGGCTTGGGGAAGAAAGGCATGGGTGTCTGCTCACCTGAACATCCATCTTCTCCTTCAGCGCCTGGAGCTCCTGCGCCTGCCTGAGTCGCTCCTCCGACTCCTCATCCCGCAGCGACCCCAGATGGGACTCGATCACACTGTGGGACTGCAGTGCCTGCAGTTTCTGCAAAGGCCAGGGCATAGTTTTATTTGGATGAAGATCTGATCACGATGGTGTCTTTGGCCCTTGAGCAGTGTCAGAAGAGCACACCTTAACCCAACAACAAACCCCAAACTTGTCCCCGCTAGATAGCTGCACACCTGCTAATCACACAAGTCCACACTCCCCTTCACTAGAGTTCTCCTGAGAGCTCAGTCCTTGCAGAGGAGAAGCAAGTTCCCATGGAAGAAGAGAATTCAAGAGTGGGATTTCAATTGCACTGAAATTCTGCTGTATTCAAACCCAAAGCTCGCCTGACAGCTGCCCCATTTCCTCCTCAGTCTTGAAAAGGCTGAAGAGAATCAGATTTGTAAGCCTCTGGAAAGGTCTCAGGCACCCCAGACCGTTCCCTGAGGACTCCTGGCCCTCCTCCCACAGAAATATTCTGGCTGTCACCAAGAAGGCCTGGCTTTGCCCGGCTTGGAGCCGTCACCAATGCCTAGTGATTCCTGAGCTAGCAGCGTGTGATCTGAAGGAAAAGTGGATCCAAGAGAAGGCGCCTGTACACCCAACTAGGGTTATATTTTTCAATATATCACTCCTGCAGTAACAAAGCAAATAACTCCATCTCTGTTTCTAAATAAATCTCAGAAGCCCTATCGAAGCCTCAATGAACTGCAAGTCCCTGAGTTTAACTTGGCATCGTTGTTGCTAATCTTTAACTCTTCTCGATTACTGCTCAAGCAATATTAGGTCCAAATGTTCACCTTCTGAAGCCCTCGAATACTTTCACAGTCGAATGCTTTATCAGATGTATGCCCAACTCTCAGCCTCTAGTGGGTCACTTCTGTCTACACACTGCTGCTCGTGACAACCAGAGAGCTGGCTGTCTTGGCATTACAAACCCTCATGGTATCTTCCCTGAACTGGGGACTCCTGGATTTACCCTACATCTAATCTAAAGTTTTCTCTTCAGTCAGGTAACTGAGCCAAAGGAAACTCAGATTTCTGTAACGGGGGAAAGTTTTGAGAAGAAATATTTTGAAAACATATTTAGCTCTCATTGGCCCTCTTAACATCAAGGAGAATCTTCTCCTGCATTTTGAAAATGGCCTGTCTTACAGAGTTTCACAATCACTCTAAATAGAATCTTATGTTTTTACCCCCAAAATTTTAAAAATAAATTAACAAAATAATTATCCAACTACACTGAGAATTTTGTATCCAGTTTGGTTCCTAACTGTAATAAAAGTAAAATAATAAAATGTCAGGTGAGAGGAGACGGGGGAGACACACAAACACAAAAACACAACATAAGCAGTCCGATAGGAGAAACACACAAAGAAATGGATGTTCCAGTTTAGGAGAATGAGATCAAGTCAGAAGGAAACCATGGATGGTAAGAATCATGTCCTCATCTACCAAAACTCAGAATTTCTAACCAAGAGCAACCCTTTGACTCTTGATGAGGTGGTTTCTGAACAACTCCAAAATCAAATCAATACCTATTTATCAAATGTCTCATCAGCTGGCACCTTGTCAGGGAAGTGTGGGAGTCGGGAGAGGTGTAGACGAGCTCAGGAATGGTGGGTATGGAGCTGGGGGTTAGGAGCATGAGGTTCACACGGCAGAGCAACATCTTGTCTTCCACAGATCATCCCTGACCACACGGGGGGCACATTTAGGACAGGAGGGCTCAGGTCACTACAGATAATCACACGTGCACACACACGCACACACACGCACACGCGTGCGCGCGCGCGCACACACACACACACACACACACACACGACTCTCATTTCAACCCCTCCGCCTTCCATCCTCAGCTTCCCGTCTCAGATTAAGACGCTGGATCACTGAAGACTCCAAGCGCATCCTATGACAATCCCCCTCTGGAAAAGTTGTCTAGATGTTTCTTTAGAAAAAACATGAAACGATTATGAGAAACACTCTTTGACAGTTCATTTTGAAAAACAAGAAAGATTCTCCTTGATGTTAGGAGGACCAATTAGAGCTACACACATTCCAAAAATATTCCTCCCCAAAACTTTTTCCCTTAGACAGTTGTAGTCATCCAGGCTTCTACGGGAAGATGCTGTCCAGGGATCAGTTTAATAAGGTTTCCCTGAATAAACTTGATAGCACCTTCGGAAGAACAGCAGGGGCTTCAAAGTTTCAGGAGCTGGGACCAGAACCCAGCTCTGCCTCTTAAAGCTGTGTGACCTTGGGCAAGCTATGTGGCCTCACTGTCTTCACCCGTAAAGGAGGAATGATAAAAAGCTTTTAACAAAACAAAGAATTTTAACAAATAAATTAATAAACTAAGGAGGTACCGACTTTGAGAATGTTATGGTTGTTTGGTTGTTACGACGATCGGAAGTGAGGGTGTGTAAAGCGCTCCGCAGTGTGGCTGGAAAACAGTAAACACAGGCAGTGAATGTTAGCTACCAAGTGTGACCTCCACAGACCCCAGCAGACTGCCTGGCAGGTGACCAGCGCTCAGCAAATATTTGTTGGAAGAAAAATGCATTAATTTAAATTTTGCCTCATTTCTTGTCCAGTGATGAAAGCCCTTTGCAAAAATAAGCATGATATCTAGGCAATTCTTACTGTGTGCCAGATAACGTTTAGTGCTGTCTCTGTGCTAATTTAACCCTTCCAGCAACCTATCTTACAGAAAAGAAGCTGAGGCACAGGAAGGTTAAGTAACTTGCCCAAGGTCACACAGCCAGTATATGATAGAGCAGGTATTCAATCTCAGGCACCGCCCTCTAGTATCTGGCCTCATAGCATATTAGCTCCCAATGGCAGATGAAATAAAACCAGTACAAACTAAGAACTGAATTATGAGAACAAATAAGCAGATTTTCACCAAAGAACATTGAGAAGGCTTTCATATTGGGTACCTCTTCTAGCGTAGAGTTATGGTTGGCAACAGTTTTAAATTCATCCCAAAATAATTTTTTTAGCTTGTCTATTTCCCCATAGAGCTTGGCCCGCTCTTTTTCTTTCCACTCATCAAAGTCTTTCTTAGCTTCCATTTCCCTCTGACGAGTGATCTCTGCTTCCTACAAAGAAAAGCAAAACAACAGAATCATTAATTCCACATTATGACAAATATTTACTGAGAAACTGCTAGGGCCCCTTGTCCACGCAAGTCACTATGGAGACCCAAAGGACACTCGTCCCACGGTCCCCACTGTCCGGACATGGAATGGAACAAGGCTTTTCTGAAGTGTAAAGTCCCTTGAGGATGGGGATAATGTCTTTTCTCTCTTTATGTTCCTCACAATGCCTGGCATAGGTGGTGCTCAATAAATGCATGCTGAGGGAATGAGTGATGAATGAATAAATGAAGGAACGAGGGAGGCAAGTTTATGCATTTTCATTCTACAGGTATTTCCTGAGTACCTCCTCTGGGCTGGATTCTGGAGCTTATCCAGTCTTTGTCCTCAAAAAGCTAAGAGCACGGTGTAAGAAGTGAAAATTCAGGTTCAAACGCCCTCAGAGGGCGCTGAATAACGCAGGAAACTGCAACTCTCTGCCCTACTTTTGACCACACAGGTCTGCCAAAATAACTGGATTTTCCTTTCCAGACGACCTAAAATCATCTGCCACATCCAGGAACCTGCGATCCTAGCTCTGACACCCGGCTCTGGGAAACCAGCCAGCATTTGGGCCCTGTCGATAAGGAGCATCATGGGTCTCCCAGGTCGCCCACGGCCGAGCCTCCCTTACCTCTGCCCTCCGTGCCCACCTGGAGCTGCCGCCGCCTCTCAGCCTCACGCTGGGCTTCCAGCTCCCCTTGGGTCCACTTTAGCTTGGCCCGCAGCTCTTCTAACACCTCCTCCACTGGCTGTTCCTGCTTCTTCTGTTTTCCTGTGGAGTCCATGCAAAAAGAGGGGGACCAGTTTAAGTGCAAAAGTCAGTACATTCCTCACCTATGCAATCAGTCCCACCTTAGTCTGAGGCTAGCTTTGCCACTTCCACTGCACACTGACCTCGGGCAGACGACATAACTGTTTCCCCAAACTGGAAAATGGAAAATAGCACCTACCTCAGAGGGCTGTTATGAGGACGAAACGTGACAAAGCAAAGTTGTCAGCGTTGTGCCTGGCATGACAGCTCAATAAATGTTACTATTATTGTCCTTTAAAATACCTGTTTTGACCGTACTGACACACGGAAATGTGGACGCAAAATTAGTAGAGTAACAGAAGCAGAATAGCAAATAGCACGCACACACTGGTTAGGACCCCAAAGAACAGGTCTATGCATCCCGACAGCTATCAGCGAGGAGCTTCAAGTAAGGAAAATAATTCTAGTTTTAAGTTCACTTTTTTCCATAATATAGTCTAAATGTATAGTTGTACAAAACGAAAAAAGGCAGCATGAATTATGAAGGAAACTTTCAGCCAAGGTTGCTTAAACTGTAGACTTTAAATTTTTTAAGATTTTAAACAAAGAATGAATTATAAAAGAATACTCTTAACTAAAACACATACTGATAAACCAAGATCCAAGGGTTAATGAAAAAGACACCAGCTGTACACGAACACGTTACTCTTTAAAGTACATTTAGTGATCATTAGATAGACGGTACTGTTATTAAACTCTAAGCCTTTCTTTGAAAAGGCTTTTTTCAGATTGGACTTTTTGGAAACAAGCAATGTTTAGATGCAGTCAAAATTAATTTGGGTTAATAAAGTGATTTGAGGTGAGTATGGAACAGCAGAGCTGGGGTATCCGAGAGCCAGCTGCCCGAGAATAAAAAGGTCATGAACAGAAATGCCCCAAAAGTTGCCTGAAGACCATCTTCCCTCTCTCCTTACAGCCCTTTACATTAAGGAAATGGTAAGGAACATGCACAAGGATTTATACACAAGATTGGTGATCATCATGTGATTTATAATAGGGAAATTTTTGAGTAACCCATACAAATTATGAAATAATTCAATTGTGAAATAAATCATGATAGCCACATGATGGAATACTATTCAGTCATTAAAAAAATCATGTTTTCAAAGATGATTTAATGACATTGGAAAATGTAATATATTCTTAATTGGAAAAAAGCGATAGTCAAAACTGCGTGCTATACAATTATATATGTAAACGGAAGAGCAGTGACAGAGAATACACCAAAATATTAACTGCAGGTGATATTGCCCATGGTTTTTATTTTTGGTTTTCTACATTCCTGTATTTAAATTTTCTATATCAAAGGCATTTTTCCCAATTTTTTTATTGTATTAAAATACACACAACACAAAATTTGCCATCTTAATCATTTTTAAATGTACAGTTCAGCAGTATTAAATACATTCATAATGTTGTGCAACCATCACCACCATCTATCTCCATATCTCTTTTCATCTTGTAAGACAGAAACTCTGTACCCATTAAACAATGACCCCCCATCCCCTTACTCCCAGCCCCTGGCAACCACCATTCTACTTTCTGTTTCTATGAATTTGACTACTCTAGACACCTCATATATGTGAAATCATACAGTATTTGTCCTTTTGTGAATGAGTTATTTCATTTAGCATAATGTCCTCAAGATTCATCCATGTTGTATCATATTGCAGAATTTCCATTTTGTTTAAGGCTGAATAATATTCCTTAGCATGTATATACCACATTTTGCTTATCCATTCATTTGCTTATCCATCCATCAAATGGACATTTGGGTTGCTTCCATATCTTAGCTACTGTGAATAACACTGCTATGAACATGGGTATACAAATATCTCTTCAAAGACATATTTTTATCAGAAAAAAAACTATTTAAGAAGTAGAAAATCTATTTTTCTTTAGCAGCCTCCAATTCAGAACCAAGAAGAATTAGATATATAATAAATGCATAGGAACTAGGTAAATGGTGCTATTTCAAAGTCTAAGTCTGTTCTTTGAAAAGGAAATTAAAATAAAGGAAGATAAGAAAAAATTTTTATTTAATAGTATTTTTATATTTACATTATATTTATATTTTCATATCTATGTTTTATGTTTTAACAGCTATTTCTTATTGAACCTCAAAAAATGGATATAAAGTACGCAAATCTCTTTGTGGGGAAAACATATAACCTTGTTACTTGTTTTGGAATTTGAAACAACGAAATTAAAGTGATTGAGTCATAATAAGCTCACATACATAAAAAAGTCAAAAAACTGGTCTGGCTGCTCCTTAACCCCATTTAAGCTTATTCCTAGTTAGCATCAGAGAAGAGCAGATTCACAGAAGGCCAGGAGGGAAAGGCCCTTCAAAGTCACTCCGTCTGACTGCCCCATTCACAGTGAAGGCCACTGAGACTCAGACAGGGGAGCACTGACCATGGTCACCTCGTAGAAAGAGACAAAGCTAAGACTGGAACCTACCTGTCTGACTCCCAGCCCTTCTTCCCTACACACGTGGTCAGAAACTCTCCCAGCCCCAGGTGAAACCCCCCATGATGGATGGTGGGATCACCCCATCCTCAACTGGATGATGAGGTTCTGAGGGCAGCTTTGGTGGTGTATGTGCCCCCCACCCTCTGAACACCAGCCCAGGTCCCTCCACAGTCCCAGGAGGGCCCTGGGCTGCTGCCTGGACTCACTACCTTCCGCCATGCCCTCTGCCGTGCCCGCATGTCTGCGCTGGATGTGGCCTCGGAGGAAGGTGGCATTCATGAACATCTTGTCACACAGGTGGCACTACACAGAGGGGAAGCAGTGAGAGAGCAGGATTAGATCACCTGAGTCAGCCTGGGATTCTCCCGACATCGCAACGCCCATTTCCTTGGGCCCCCTGGGCTGCTTCAGAAATGAAGAATTTGACTAACTGAGTGAGCAGGAACATCAACCCAAAAAATATACATATATTATGTATTCCGAGCTTTAACACACGACCAGTGCTGGGGAACTGTGAACTCTGACTGGGTATTTGACCATGTTGGGGAATTTTAGTTGGTTTTTCTGGGCATGATGATGGTATCATGTTTATGTTTAAAAATGGGAATCCTTGCCTCTTACAGATACGTACTAAAACATTTACAGACAAAATCATATGAGTAATACACTTCAAAATAACCCAGGGGTGGGAGAAATTGTTAGGAACATTGGCCATGAGCTGACAACTACTGGGCTGGGTAACATGAAGAAGCAGCTTCATTATATTACTCTCTCTGCTTCTGTATATGTTTGAAATTTTCCAGAATAAAAAGTTTTTTTAAAAATGCAAATGTCCAGGTCCCACCCCAAGGCTGAGAACCACTGGAGCAGAGGACAGCAAATAACAGCCCCTGCATTTCCACTTCACTCTCCTGAAGCATTTCAGACGCTGCCTATCTATCTTATCATCTTTTCACTGTAAAACTTCAAAATCCTTCCAACACGGCTTTGCAGGCTGCCACGACTAGTCAATCAGAGTAAGAGGGCAGATTATTTGCTATCTTTACAGAAGCGCAAATGCGAAAGAAATTGCCAGTTGTTACCCAATCCCCATTTTCCCTTTTTCCTTTGCAATAGAAACCCTCAGTTTTAGCTGGTCACGAGGCTACTGAGAATAAACACTATATGTCCCAGCCTCCCTTGTAACCAGGTGTGGCCATGTGACTAAATTCTGGGCAATGACATGTAAGTAGAAGTGGATACGTAACTTTTGGGAGGTGCCGTTAAAGAAAGAGTCATGACATTCCTCACCCTTCCTCCTCCTGCTGAATAGAATGTAGACCTGAGAGGTGGAACTCAGGCAGCCATCTTGGACCATGAGGCAAAAGCCACATGACAAGGCTGGCAGAGCAACACATAAAGAAGTGGGTCCACAATGGTTGTGGCATTCCATACCACCCCTGGATCACTTACTTCTAGACTTTATTCATGAGAGAGAAATAAACTTCTACCCAGTCACACAGCTATGATTTGAGGTTTTCTGTCACCCACAGTCAAACCTAATCCAAAGAGATACACACGACATTGACAGACTTGGTCCACTCTGGAGTTCCAAAGGGACACAAATGAATTTCTAGTTGTCGGAAGGAATATGAGTTGGGTGGGTGGGGAATATTTTATGAGGCATCTTATTCCAAATCGTAAGCCCCTCCTTCATCCCACCCTTCCCCGTTTCCCTGTTCTCACCTCTCAGCACACTCACAAACCAGGCTCCTGATGCTGGACACCACCACTGCCTTCAGACTAGGTCCACACTCTTCACCATGGCATTCAAGGCTACCAGAACCTGGCTCTGCTATCATCTCCTGCCACCTCTCTGCCCACAGCCCCTCACCAACCCCACCTCAGGCCATTCCGAAGCCATCGCACTGAGGGCCCTTCTCTCCTTGGCACCCGCGCTGCCTCTGCCTGCAACACTCCTTTACAAAACTGTGCTCAGCATTCAAGGCTCAGTTTAAACACCACCTCCAGAAGACACCCCCCTCCCTCCTCTGTGCTCCTACAGCTTCTCAGCCACATCTTTATTGTACTCAACACTTTCTCCACTGGTTAAGGACATGTGTTCACTTTTGACAGTACAGCTTCCTGCTGGGTGATTACCCTCTTCCCAGAGGATTGAGAATCCACGGGCTCCAGTCCACCCCCAGCTCCATGGATGAACATGTGACCCAGACCAAAGCCACTCTGAACTCCACATTCTCGGGACCTGTGATTGGTTCAGAGATGGGTCGGAGACCCATGCACGGCCAAACATAGGAGAGACGGTGAAGCACTGGCTGGGCTGCTGACACCAAAGGAGGCCCCCACCATGCCAGCCTTGAATCTGAGAAAATGAGAAGCTGCCACTACAGTGACCCAACCGCTGCCACAGGGACAGAATCTTTCTAGAAATGGAACCCATGCTGAGGAAGAATTGCCAAGAGCTGCAGGGAGAGAAACTAGATTCTGGTGCCATCGTCTGATTCCTGGGGCAAATCACACCTGAATCCATACACAAAATCACACACAAAAAATCCATAACCCTGGATTTTTAAGTTAAATCAGCCAAAAAATTCCTTATTGGCCTAAGCGAGGTTGGATTGCTGCTTTGTCACTTACTACTGAAAGGGTTCTGACCCTTTTTATCATAATCAACATTATATCAACTATATAAACTATCATTCTATCAATTGACATTGGATCATAATGATTCCTGCTATCCCACACACCCCCAAACTATGAATTTCTTGAAAACCTGAACCAGCATGACTTGTGCCTTCATCCTCAGAGCCTGGCCCAGGGCCTGGCCATCACGACAATTTATTAAAGGGCAACTGTCCCCAGTCCACACTTTCTATGGAAATACATGCAAATACTCAAATGCCACTGTGGGGAATGAACTGTCACTTAGTTGAATAATGGAGTCACTTTTCCAGAATGGGCCTGGCTCCACCAGTCCCTTGTCACACACTGATTTCACACATACATACACCCTCTTACACATCCCTTTACATATCACACTCTCGACATGCACACACAAACCTTTCATACATACACACGTATGCCCTCCATAACCCTTCGACACATATACACCATTCATACCACCACACCATAAATAAACCTTTATATGCACACTTCTACACACATGCACACATTACACACCACACACTCCACACATACACACATACCATACACACATGTACCCTCCAAACATTCACATACACAGATTAGACACACACATATTCACACCATCCATAAACACAGATACCCTCCATGCTTTCACACAGGTACACGCTAGACACACACCCTCTCCATAAACACATACACACTCTGTGCACACACATCCTTCCTACACACACCTGCCACAAATGCATAATTTCATTATCACACACACACTGTAGAACCTGGTCAGACACCCTTGAGCTCTCTGACCGCAAGCAGCGTCTCTAAAATCTGCTCCTAACCAGTGAAATGGCCCACAGGGCCTTGGGACCCACGGCAGTGGTGCTGCCCAGGTGGCCTGGAGGCTGGGTGCAAAGCCCTCCCACTCCCCACCCTGCAGAGATCCCTTACCGTGTGGTAGCTGTGGGCGCCTGTCTGCAGGAGCAGCTGCTGCAAGGTGCTGATCATCTTGCGACGCCGGCGGCTCTCCTCCCGTACACCCTTGAGCTCGTCAGCCTGGCGGCCCAGTTCCTGCTGGCCACGCTCCTGCTGGCCCAGGCTGGCCTGCAGCCGCGCCTCCAGCTGGGCCACGCTGGCACTCAGGCAATCCTGGCAGTGCAGCAGGTACTCGATGATGAGCTGCGCCAAGCGCAGCACCTTGAGCAGCGCTGGGTCCACAGGCTGCCCACAGCGGCTGCACGCCTCCCGGTCCAAATTGCAGAAGGTGACGCCAGTGATGTTCTCCTGCAGGGTGGCCACGTCCAGCTCCCGGGCCACACGGTCCACATCCAGGGCACTAATACGCCTCCAGTCCATGCTTTCATGGCGAGGCTGGAACTTGAAGGTAGGGAGCGTGTAGGCCCCAAAGAGGGGGCCACTGAGGCCCTCAGCAGTGGTTGCGGGGGACTGCATGGGCAGGGGAAGCCCTGGGCTGATCACCGAGGGAGGATGCCACCAGGGCCACGGCAGCAGACAAAGGAGCTGAGAGAGGGCCTGGAAAATGAGAAGTGAATCCAAGTTAGGCAAGGTGCGTGTGGCTGCATGTACCATACACGTGGCCAGCAAGAGCCTAAGGGAACTAAACAACAGCTGCAGTAGGCTGCTCTGCCCTGACACAGCCAGAGCTCCAGCAAGCAAGGGTGTGGGCTTTCCAGTCTCACAGATGTGGACTCAGAACCTCAGCCCTGGGCAAGTCCCTTCACAGCTTTAAGCCTCCTGTGTATACTGGGGATCACGGGGCCCACTTTGCAAGCCTGTGGTTAGGAATGAGGCAGGTGAAGCACTCAGCATAGAGTCTGGCACATAGTAGGTCCTCAGTGAACATCTCTGTGCCCCAGTCCACTGCAAGAGTGCCTGCCCGAGCTCTTTGTTGGGCGGAGCTGTCAGATGTATAAGTAGGTCCTTCTGCAGCCTGACATTGACCTCAGGATAAAGTCCAAGAACTCACCTCGGGTGGCAGAGCTGCCTAACGTCTACCACAGCCCATCCTCTCCTCCCATTATTACAAGGTCAGGGTGGAATAGTGGTGGGCTACATTTCCCAGTTTCCTCGGCTATAAGGTGTGGTCATGTGACTATGTCCTCCCTAGTGGGATGTGAGTGAACTGATGTCCGCCACTGCCCAGGGGGTGCTTAGGAGAGCGCCTGCGACCCTACACACAGATTGTGCCCAGTCCATGATGGTCTTTTTTTTTTTCAAACCTAATGGTTTAGAAAAGAGCTCCAGTTTGTTATCAAAAGACTCAGCTTCTACTCTCCCCTCTCTTGGTAGACACAGAAACTGTTCTCTCTCTTTGGAGAGTAATTTGACAAGAGCAACAGGAATTTAAAATGAACATTCCACTACTAGAAATTACAATTTATCCTACAGATAAACTCATACAAGTGTGCAAAGGTGCTTGTGCAAAAATTCTCATTGTAGTGTTGTCTGTAATAGCAAAGTCCAAGAAGGCAAAGTACAGTAGGGGATGACACAGACCGTCTCTATACAATGAAATACTACACAGTTATTCAAAACAAAGTCACTTTTCATGTACTGATATGGAATAACGACCACACATACACATATACATACACACATGCTTCCATTTCTGTTTAAATGAAATATTAATATAGTCACATTTAGTAATAATTTGCAAAAATAAAGGAGATATGTATATCTCATCTATATCTATATCTATCTGAATATATATATCTATCTCACTTTAGAATAGTTACCTATGAGGGATGAGGAAAATGGGAATGAGAAACGGGGATAAATAAATGAATAGACGGATAGTGCATGGATAGGAGATGGATAGATAGATGGACAGACAGACAGATAGACAGGACTTACATTTACCAATGATGATAATGATACATATATACGGTATATATACATATATATACACATACATGAGTGATCCGTATTTGTTATTCATATATAGTCATAATTAAATAAAATATACTAATTTAGATTCCTATATGATTCATTATCTGTATTATTTCATAAGCACAGACTATTTCTAGAAAAATAAACGAGCTGTTAGCTGTTTATGGTTACCTCTGGGAAGGGGGAATGGAGGTTTGAGGACTTTTATTTTCCCCTTTCCACCTCTCTAGACTATCCAAAGTTCTCTGCATCATCATCTATTACTTTTATAATTTTTTAAAGAAAAAAATACAATTCCTGCTCTTGAGGAACTCAGAATCCGACTGGGGCAACAAGAAGTATATGTGACCTATTTAATCAAGTTCTTTCTAGATTACGTGATTCTGACTTTTACGTGCAATAGAAAATCAGAGGAGAGAAAGGTCCTTGGCCTCAGGATGGAGAAAGGCCTTGAGGAAGCGGTGGGGCCAGGTCTGCAGAGGGGAAGGGCCTGCAGGAAAGGCTCCACCCCCCAAGCCTCTCATGGATGAAAGGCTGTGGTACCCATGATAGGACCCCCCCCACCTACCCCTGGGGCGCTGTAAGAACCCAAGGAGAAGCGAGGGAAGCCCTCAGTAACAATACCGGCCACAGTGCAAGGTGTGCCAGCCTCTGCGCCAGACACAAACCAAACACAAACCTACAAACAGGTACCACTCTTTCATTTTACCGACAAGGAAACTGATGTGTGGAGAGGGGAAGTGGCTTGCCCCAGGTAGGGAGGTCAGCGTTGAAGGACAACCGGAGGTGCATCTGGCGCCAAAGCTTGTGGACTTTGAACCACCCAGCACGATTCTTGAGGCTATTTGTCCTAAAACTCTGCTTTGATCAGCTCATCACCGCTTATCCCTCAAACTCATTCATTCATTCACTCACTCCCCCCTCATTTACAGGATGCCTACCTGGGTCAGCCCAGGTTACCGAGGTGTATTAACCACATGTCTGCCCTCAACACAGGAGCTCAGCATGGCTTCTTGTTGTCACAGTACCAAGTCCAAACCCCGCAGCCAGGCCTCGAAGACTGCCCACAGGAGGCCACTGACCTCCCTTTTCAGTTTCAGCAACCACGCTTCCCTTTCTCAGACTCTTTCCCAACATGTGCTCCAAAAACAAAACCATCCAACCACAAGCATGCCCTCCATGGCCATGAGGAGAAGATCAGCACAATTCTACTCAAAGTGTCGCATTATCAAAAAGGAGGAGGTGAACGACGTGATACTCACCATGCTCAGCTCCAAGCTGCAACCACGTCCCCGGAGCCTCAGAGACAATCGTCACAACAAGCCGTGCCTTGGAGCAACAGCAGGTTACCAGGCATGCCGTGGGCAGGGGTAACAGGACACCCGCTCCCTGTGCTCCCACAGCCCGGAGCTCACCTGACAACTCACTGTTTAACTATTAAAACTTTGGCCTCAGATGTTTGCCCACAGTCCTGTCTCTAACAACAAGGCCAAGGACGCTCCATCAGCAGCTCTCTCACTCTCCTCCCTCTGCTCCGAATGCTCCCTCCATCCTCTTCCTTGAACAGTTACTATCCTTTCTCCCTTCCTGCAAGGCAGGGTGTGCCAGTGCCCCCGCGTCATTCTGCCATTCACCCATGACCCGTCTCTCCCTGCACGCTCTCCCTGGGGATGAGCTCACACACACCACAGCTTCAGCTACACAGTCCTGCTTTAGGCTGAGCCGCAGCCACTCCCAAATCTCTTTCTCACCGGCCCATATGTCTCTTGGGACTTAGACCCAACCTTCCAACACTGTTTATGCCAGAAATTGTAAATCCAAATTCCACCAGGGCCAGGAAGGTGTGTTAAATGCAGGACACAGCAGCTATAAGAGAAACCACAGTACAAATTGATGACAAATGGCAACTGATTCCCCATCTTAGTGTCCCAGACACAATTAGGCAGTGTGGTGCCTGGACCAGCAGCATCAGCATCAACTGGGAACTTGTTAGAAATGCAGATCCCCAGACTTACGGATTCAGGAGCACTGCAGGAGGGAGTGTGGGGTAGGGAGTGTTGGGGATTGTGGCAAAATGGGGAGTCCATGCCCTGTTTAAAAGCGGCAGCCGCCACTGAGCTTCAGCCATATGGGAATGGATTTTATGTGTTCTTATGGGCTAATTCCAAATTCATTAAGAAGGTATTCAAAGACCTCTAAGAACTGTTTCCAAACTACCTCTCTAGCTGCGTCTCTCACTTAACCATATTCCTCGCTGTCCATACTTTCATATCTCTGAACTATTTATTTATAGGCCCTGTCTTTAAGCACTTTATAACGAGTAACTCATGTACTCCTCACAACACCTCTGGAGGAGATACTTTTATTTTTTTTTTGAGGAAGATTAGCCCTGAGCTAACTACTGCCAGTCCTCCTCTTTTTGCTGAGGAAACCTGGCCCTGAGCTAATATCTGTGCCCATCTTCCTCTACTTTATATGTGGGACGCCTACCACAGCATGGCATACCAAGTGGTGCCATGTCCGCACCCGGGATTCGAACCGGCAAACCCTGGGCCGCCAAGAAGCAGAATGTGCAAACTTTATCACTGCGCCACCAGGCCGGCGCTGAGGAGAGACTATTATTATCTAACCCACAAGGAAGTGAAGAAGCTTGCCTCAGGTGCAGGAGGCAGGATCCAAACCCACACAGCCGGGTGACAGAATCCGAGCTCTTCCCCACTGTGCATGCTGCCTCTTGGTAGAGATGGCCCTCCACCACCTCCTTCTGCTCCTACTGCAGGGGAATGCGTGCTCCAAGGCCTTGCTCATACATGATTGCCCCCATAAATCCCTCCCAGGCCCACAATCAGAACTCCCTGCCCCTCCCCTAGGCTCCCAGAGCACAGGCACGCACTCCTCTGGTCGCCCTCACCACACTCTGGTCGAGGTTGGGGCAGCTGTGCAACATTCATCCATCCATCCCATCAACAAATGAGTCCTGAGCCCCTACTAAGTGCCAGGCACCATGATTGGCACTCAGAATTGACGGTGACCCAGGCAACTGTCCCTGCCATTGTTAATAAAAACAGTTAACAGTCTGGCACTGTGTACTCCACACACAGTCAGGAGGCTTTACGTGTATCACCCCATCTAATTCTCACCACAGCCCAGTAGGCAGATGAAGAAGCTTCGAGGTGAACGAGGAGAGCCAAGTCACACAACCAGTAAGTGGTGGCATCTGGCTCCAGAGTTTGTTCTCCACAAAGACAGAAATGACCCTACAGAGTGGTAAGTGCCGGGGTAGGAGCCAGGCCGGGTGCTGTGGGAGCACCAAGGAGGGCCACACCAGGATGTTTCTGTCTCCCTTCTCCCACCGACTCCCCCAGCCCTGAGCTCCACAAGGGCTGAGACCACGGCTTATACCTATCTGTTGTATTTCCACTCCTAGCATATTACCTGCAGCCCAGACTGCTACTGAACTGAGCAGGTTTGTCAAAATCTTAGAATATTGCCTCAAAAGTCTACCTTCTTGGGGTCTTGGAGAAATGAGGCTATGGACCAGTGAGAATTAGGATAAAGAGTACGAATGAGTTAGGAGTCCTTAATTTGGACTCGCTGGAGAGAAATGCCATTCAGCCTTAGTAAAATGCTGGGTTGTTGACCATCTGTGTCCATAGCTCAATCCCACTGGCCACTAACGAAAGCTTGGAGCGTGGGAGCCCTCGGGGGTCGGCTCAGGCCGATTCGCGAGGAGCCCCAGCGCCCACATCCCCTGTGAGGACCTGGCTGCAGTGTCGAGCTTGCTTCCTGAGCAGCTCTGAAACCCGCACGTTTACACTCTGAGCACACTCTGATAGCACTGAGGATGGCAGCCAGACTCCCAGTTATACGCAATTCTGAATTAGGGCTCTGAGTTCATGAGGACTCACTGAACCCCAAAAGTATCCCTGCTGTCTTCTACTAGAACCCCAAGGGGCCAATTCTCAGAAGGCCCAGGGCTCGGACATCAAAAGGTGAGCAGAACTGTGGGAATTTGAAGATGATGATGATGACGATAGCAGCCATCGTTTACTAAGTATCTGTGTGCCAGGCACTGTGCCAGGCTGTGAAAGTGCTATTTCTGGCTTTGTATGTAGCTACGATTTGCCTCATCTGACAAATGTAGAAACTGAGGCTCAGAAAAGCTAAGGGACCTGCCCCAACTCACTCAGCTACCACGTAAAGAAGCCAAGATTCAATCAAGTTCTGTCTGACACCAAAGCTTTCAAATTATGCCAAACTACCTCCTAATGATGATGATGACGATACATAGATTATTTCCCATTACAGAAATTACAGTACCTGAGATTTCTTGACTAAACTTCAAGGACTGAAAGAGCTGACAACAAATCACAAGAGGGTCGGCACTGGAAACCCTAATTCTCCCTGTATGTTGGCAGAGCTTAGCCAAATGCGACTCAGTTTTGAAGACAAAGCCAAAGGAGAGTGCTGCGGGTTACCTGGAGACCACACCCCCGGGGGCAGGAACACCACGCTCTCTCCAGACCGAATTATCAGCAGACTGCTTCTCCCACATCTGGGAATAGAAACACAAGGCAGAAATGACTCTCTGTCATCAGGAAACCTGAAGCTGTGTTAACCATCTCTAGATGTTTTGATGGAGTCCTCGGAAACTTCCCAATCCTAAACCAATGTCACAATTAGTGGGACACAAAAGAATGGTATTTATGCCAGCATTCCAAACTCACTTCATTGTCACAGAGATGGTTTCTACCTGGACAGTCCCACAGCCAAGAACGAAAGCCCGTCTACCACCCTTGCTTTGCATACCCCTGGCCATGAGGTGTTCACCACCTCACAAGGCAGCCATCCACTGTGAAACAATTCCCCGAGACTTTATGGTACTGAAAGCTGCCCACCTATGATCTGTTAAAGATAACTTCCACAAAATCAACCAAAGAGCTGATTTTTTTAAATAAAATTCTGACTGATTTAATGTAACTTGGCAGCTAGTCTATACCACTGCTGCTGCCACCTTACTGTCTCTGCTGCTTCCTCAAGAATGCAGCCAAGAGGAGCACTTGGAGGAGCCAGGCTTCTGAGGTGGCTGCCAGGCAATCATTTACCAGCCCGCCCTGGCTCTGAGCCAAAGTCAGCGGGACCTGCCCCGGGAGCTCAGGCGTGTCATTAGTGCTAATTGTGGTGGCTGCCAAGGAAACCTGCACATAGTTTGCAAACAGGCTGTGCACACATGGTAGTCAAGAGAGCGCTAGAGACCCCAACGGAGGTGAGTGACCCAGGAGCTCTTCCGGAGCGCGCCCGTCACAGACCTTAGCTTTGTTCTCTGATTCTGTTGTTTTCCAAAGAAAGAAGTCCCCCTCTCCACTCTTGCCTTCACGCACTCCCAGAACCATCAAGTATCAAGAGAGAGAGACACTCCACCCCGACAGCTGGCCTCCATTCCTAGCAACCTTAAGGAGATATTTTTAAAAGAAATCGTCCACGGTTTTGTCAGGAACCTATTCTAAGTTTTTGCCACAAGAGGATTTTCTTCAAAATAAAAAACTGGGAGCAGGAATTTGATCGACATCGCTCAGGAGTACTTTAGAGAAGGAGACTACATACTGACAGGACCGATCCTCCCAGGTGCAGGACGGTCAAAGACCAACACCACTTTTCACATCTCAAACAAAACCAGCTTAGAATATTCTGGCGTTTTCTTTCCTCTGGAGGAGCCATTGCCTCTTGGTAGAGTTTCTCCATCTCTAGTGCCTGAGCCATCAGAATCTCACAAAATCCTCGCTACAGGTGCAAGGCCAGGGACAAGTGGCACGGCAGGCGGTTAACCCTGCTAACCAGGACTGCCCTTGCTGCAAGGGGCCCACAAGGAGGTTCACAAGAGCCCACCAAACTGTGCCGTTCCCCACTCCTGTCAGTTTCAGCTGAACAGCAAGCCTTTTCACCAAATTCCAGCTCTGTGGCAGGACCCGGTTATGCTCCACAAGTGAATTCAGGTTTCTGTTCGCAACCAGAAGCATATAACTTCACGGGATCATTTTATCAAGGTGGATGGTGTCCAAAAACATTTCCATATGAGGGAGATGTCTCCAGACCCTGGGTGCTGACAAGACAGACAAAAGACCACTTCTCAACCACTTGACTGGAGGACTAGCCTTCTCTAGGTGGAGTTGTTCTCACTGGAGGGTCCTCAGCTCCAGGAGGAGGTGTTAGGCACTGTGACCAAGAAGGATGACACTCCCCCCGCCAGCTGTCTGCAGACACGAGTGTAAGAGGCCACAGACAGAGCACCTCACACTCACCACTCTCAAAAGTCCTGCTAGAAATCAAACTCCAGGAGATAAGGCAGGTGCAGACAGCCCGGCCCTTAGGAGCGCTGGCTGGATGGCAGCCCCTGCCCAGCCCTCCAGACCCGCACCTCTGCCCGCCTTCTGGCCCCTTGTCCTGTGCACAGCAAGTCTCCCGTGAACTTGTACCTGGGGAAAACACCATTGCTGCCTCCCCCCAAACTCCAGCCCAGGAGTACAAGGAGAAGAAACGGGATGCCAATGTGTTTGCTTTTTAAACCATCTTGTTAGCAAAAGATCCCCCTTTACCTGCAGAACTCAAAGCATCAAGCCCCCAAATCATTTTACTTTTTTCAGCAAGTAGAAATCCAGGGCTGTCTTCCCAGCGAAGCCCAGACCTGGGGTTCAGCCAGTGCTGCTCCCCTCCCGGGGTACCCCGCTCCAGAGCGGGCCAAGGAGCCGCGGCGCAGGGCCGAGCCGGGGCGCGGGAAGCGGCGCGTCTGGAGGCCGAGCCGGGGCGCGGCGGCCGCAACTCCCGGGCTGGAGCCGCTAATGTTTAACCCCCGCGCCCGTGGCCCGATCCAGGGGCCCTCGCACCGCCCGCCCGCGCCCCTCCCGGGCCGAATTCCTGGCATAGTTTCCCAGCGGCCCGGCTCACCTGGGGGTCCGGAGCCGGGAGGCGGCAGAGGTCCGGAGGTGCCCCCCTCTCGCCCGGCCCGGCCTCCCGGCTCGCCCCAGCGCCCCGCGCCGCCACAGCCCTTCCCGGAACCCGCCCCGCCGCGCGGCCCGGGGATGCTTCCCAGCCTCGGGCACCCGGACGCCGCGGGCGCGGGGAGCAGGCCGGCCGGCCCCCCGGCGCTGCCGCCCTGGGTACGGGCAAGGGGACCCCTCACCGCCCGCGGCTCGGCCTGGGGTCTCCGACGCCTCCCGCCCCGACGAGAGCCGGTCCACCCCGCCCCGGCGAGGGTGGAGCCTCTCCCCAGCCCCCTGGGAGGAGCTATTTTTAGGTCTGTTACGGAGGGAGGAGGAGGGAATGCCACGTTTAATCCGTTAGGAAAATCTAGGATCCAAGTGAATGGCTCCCAGGCCTTGCTGACAGGCCGGGCCGCGTGGAGCCCAGGGCGGCTGGACGTGGTTCTGTCTAGACACACACACACACACACACACACACACACACACACACACACAAAACACACACACTGCCCGCAGTTCAGCCGCTGGCCTGCTGAAAGCTGGGGAAGCTGCAGCCTCCCAGGCAGACAGCCCAGCCCACCTGCCTTAAACTGAACGGAGATTCTTGGTTTCCAACCCAGCCAGAGCTAGTCCTTTGGGTGAGTCCCAGGCCTGGTCAAATGGTAACCACCCTCCGACCCCCTAACCTTCTGGCTTGCCCTGTGGATCCAGCTGTGAAACCCAGGACCAGAGAATTCTTCCCTGATAATCAGTCCCTGATCCCTTCCTATAGCCAGTCAAGGCTTTCATTAGATTCAGATTTCTGGGAAATTTTTTTAAGGTCTTCCTCCCACCCCAGCCTCAATCTGCCAAACTCTGTATCTTGGGGCAGCCAAAGCAAAAGCGTATGGGAACAAGTGATGGCAAGGATGTGGAGAAACTGTGCATTGCTGGTGGGAATATAAAATGGTACAGCTGCTGTGGAAAAGAGAGTGGTGATTCCACACAAACTTAAACATAGAATTACCATATGATCCAGCAATTCCATTTCTGGGTATATTCTCAAAGGAACTGAAAGCAGGGACTCAAACACATGTCTGTACACACATGTTCATAACAGCATTATTCACAATAGCCAAAAGGTGGAAACACCCCAACCTAAGTGTCCATCAACATCTGAATGGATAAAAAAAATGTGGTGCATACATACAAAAGAATATTACTCAGCCTTAAAAAGGAATGAAATTCTGATGCATGCATGCTACAACATGAAGAAACCTTGAAAATATTACACTAAGTAAAGTAAACCAGACACAAAAGGGCAAATATTATATGATTCCACTTATACAAGGTACCTAGAATAGTCAAATTCATAGAGATGTTCCAGAAAGTATAATAGTGTTTACCCTGGGGCTGGGGGTGGGAGGAGTGGGAGAGCTGGTTTAGGGAATAGAGAGTTATTGTTTAAGGGATACAGAGTTTCAATTTGGGATGGTGAAAAGTTCCCAGAGATAGCTAGGGGTATTGGTTGTACAACAATGCGAATGTATTTAATGCCACTGAATTGTACACTTGAAAATGGTTGACGTGGTAAATTTTATGGTATGTATATTTTTCCACAATTTTTAAAATTTAAAATAAAAGTGGCTGGGACAGTAACCAGGATCAAGTAAGGATGTCTGTGAGCATCCACCCTGATGGGGAACCTTGTTCCCCCTCTCCTCTCCTGGTCAGGGCACCCTTTTCACTCCAGGGGTTCCTGCTGCCCACTGGAAGGGAGAGAAGAGTCCAAGTTTTGGAGTCAAAGACACATTTACATTCCACATTCCCAAGCTGTGTAACCCTGGGAAAGTCACTTAACCTCTCCGTAAAATGGGAAAAAGAAACTGTACCTAGCAGGGTCATTATGAGAACCAAATTAGCTAAAGCATCTCCAGGCTCAGCCTGGGGCCCGGCTGTCAGTGGGGTGTCCTCTAGAGCTCAGTCAAGTGTGAAAGCTGTGGGGGCTTGGAGCATGCGCTCGTCAGCTCTCTTCCCACCGTGTCCCTGAAGTGTACAGAAAGCAGCTCTGAGGGACCCGTATGTGTTTATCTGTGTCATTTCCACTCACCTCAATTTCCCCATATGTAAATGGGGTGCCCTCTTTCCGGGGTGGTTGTGAGAAAGTGGACTTGACCTGCACCCACCTTGTTGCTAATGCCAAAAGCGAACGACTCCATCTTCGGCTGACCAAGACCTCCTATGGGCAGAGCCCTCACACCCTCCCTTTCTGGGCCGCAATTCAACTTGCAATACAGCCAAGGCTTGCAGAGTGCCTTCTATGCACCAGGCTCTGTTCTAGGGCCCGAGGATACCAAGCGTTTTTGGAGGACACTGGGAAGCTGTCACCCTGTGCTGCGCCACCTCTGCTACAGCACACACAAGATTTGGCACCAATGGGGGCAGGCATCTAGCCCGTAACACAGGAACAGGCCAAAGGAGACTGGCCCTAGATGGCTAGTCCAGGAGACAGTCCTTTCGCCCTAAGCGTCTGGGCAGAATCTATTGGGTGGGAGGGCAGGAGGGTGACTTCCCAATACCTGCAGTTTCCATCTTGCCCCGTAGCCCCTCACCCCTCCCTCAGGCCAGGGCCAGACCCTTGCTCTCTGACCCAGCACAGGCCCGGCACGGCTGGTCTCCCTCCTACATTTAGGGACTATCAGGAAACAGTGAGACATGTCTGCTGACTAGAGGTGGACTCGGGACTCTAGGCAGCCCACAGCAGGAGTGCCCTCTGCTGTCAACTGCTGGCATCACACCTTGGAAGCCAGCTCCGGATCCCACTTTCCTGAAGGGCATCTGAGGTGTACAGACAGGTCCCCCAGGGCTAGGATGCTGGCCACTAACGGTCCCTGAGGTGAGGTTAGGTCAAGGGTATATTGTTGGGTTTTCACAGCTTTGATGTATACATAGGCATATAGGCAGAGGGGGATTTTACATAAAAATCCGTTTTGCTGGTTTCTTTGGAAAAATCTGAGGATCTGGCAACAGAAGAAGGCTTGCCCTCTCACATATCAAAAAATGGGCTGGGGGCCGGCCCCGGGGCCAAGTAGTTAAGTTCGTGTGCTCAGCTGCAGCGGCCCAGGGTTTTGCTGGTTTGGATCCTGGGCACGGACATGGCACCGCTCATCAGGCCATGCTGAGGTGGCGTCCCACATAGCACAACCAGAAGGACCTACAACTAGAATACACAACTGTGTACTGGGGCGGGCAGGGACTTGGGGAAAAGAAGAAGAAAACAAAGAAGATTGGCAACAGACGTTAGCTCAGGTGCCAATCTTTAAAAAAAAAAAAGGCTGGAGCTGATGGGGGACCTCTTCTGTAAGCAGAGCCTACGCTCTAGCCCAGTCCCTGAAAAACTCACTTCCGAGGAAGTCTGTGCACTTAAAGAAGAGATGTTTCTCAGGAAAACGATCTCCTCACCTGCAAAATGAAAACGCAGAGTCAGCAGAACCAGGACCTGCTCTCTCGGTCTGGAAACAAACCCAAGGCCTGGCGGGCTAGGACAGACTGCAAAACTGCAACAAAATAATGAAACGTTTGTGTCCTTGGTACAGAAAAAGTGGTTACAAATCAAGAAATAGAAAAACAACCCATCAGAAAAGTGGACAAAAGGTACTGGGCAATTCACAGAATAAGAAAATATAGGGGCCACCGGGGGGCACAGTGGTTAAGTTCACACGTTCTGCTTCAGTGGCCCAGGGTTCACCAGTTCGGATCCCAGGTGCGGATGTATGCACCGTTCTCATCAAGCCATGCTGTGGCAGGCGTCCACATATAAAGTAGAGGAAGATGGGAATGATGTTAGCTCAGGGCCAGGCTTCCTCAGCAAAAAGAGAAGGATTGGCGGCAGATGTTAGTTCAGGGCTAACCTTCCTCAAAAAAAAAAAAAGAAAGAAAGAAAGAAAATATAAATTACCAATTAAACATGTGAAACACTCAACCCCACCAAAATTAACATGACAATGAGATACACTTTTTAAACTATTATATTGGTCAAAATTAAATAGATTTTTGGCATTGGTGAAGGATGGGAAATGGGCAATTTCAAATAGCCTTTTTTAAAACAATTTGGCAGCACATATCAAAACCTAAAGTCTTCAAAAATGTGGTAACCAGGACTTTTGCTACAGCATTACATGTACTATTAAAATTAGAATCAACTTAAATTTCCACCAGTTGGGTATTGATTCAAATAGTTTATGACATACCCTACAATGAAACATTCTATAGCCAATTTTTTTCTCCGTAAAATCTTGTTAGTTTGAAAGTCAAAGAAGGAATGCAGGATTTGAAAAAAATTAATATGGGGGAAACACCAGCATGGCCTATTTTCAAAATGTATCATGACATAAACAAGCGGCCCAGACACACAAAAGGCCAGAAGGAATCCAGGCTCATCCAGAGCCCCAGAAATCCCATCCTTCTACCACCTCTGCTCCTTACTTTGCCCAATCCCCCCTCATCGCCGTGTTTTGAGTATTCTTTTCTACTAAATAAACTACATTTATTAATTAATGCATCATTATTTCCTATATTTTATTAATCAAAAACATTTTGCTGACAGTTAAAGCTCCCTATAAATGTCAAATTATCAATACTGAATTCATATAATCACAGCCCAGCACATAGAAATGGGACATTCAGGTTGACCTAGTTGCTCCCATCATGAAACAGTTGATACACTTTTGAAATATTGAAATATTTCTAACCAAATGCTTCAGGACCCTAGGGGTTGGGAACGTTAGTTGGAGAACCCCTTGTCGTGCGTTCTCCAGATGGGGAAATGAGATCCAGTGTGTGGGACCCTACCCCTCCTCGAGAGGGCTAGCCCTAGGAATGCTCCCCTGGGGAGACCATTGGAGAGCTGAAAACCAGCAGGGTTTCTGGTGACACAACTCAGAGGGCAGCCATGGGGAGTAGCAGCAGGCCTCAAAACCTAACTGTGGTGTCAGATAGCTAAGAATCCAGAGCCAGCAGCTGGGAATAAATAAAGCTGGGGCAGGAGACATGATTTGTGAGTATTTTTACAAAGACTGTCAGAGCAGTGATTCTCAAAGGGGGAAATACCAGAATGAAAGGGGATGGGTGGCTATAGCTTGAAAAAGCATCATAATTTTATATTTGGAAAAAAATATAAACTATTTTTTCCCATAAAGCAAACTACCAAAAGGAAAGTTCTAGAAAATCTTGGCTGATGAGTATTTGTAGAAGAAATATTAATTCTCATACCTCCTGGAAAGAGGAGGTGAAGTTTTATGTGACTGTAAAAGGGGCAGCAGTTTTTAAATTTTTGAATTTGTAATTTGTTTTTTTGAGCCAGTTGGGGTGTGGTAGGGAATAGCAGACCCCCTGAGGAGGGGAGGAGACTATCCCAGGGGGATGTGGACAGTCACAGAATATAAGTACTAGAGACCTGCAATGGACTGAATGTTTGTGTCCCCAAAACTCCCCGTGTTGAAATCCTAACTCTTGATGTGATGATACTAGGAGGCAGGGTCTTTGGGAAGGAAATTAGGTCATGAGGGTGGAGTCGTTACGTGTGGGATTAGTTCTCCTATAAAAGGGACCCTAGAGAGCTCCCCTGACTCCTTTCACCATAAGAAGATTCAACAAGAAGTGTGCTGTCACCCAGCAGAGGATCCTCACTAGAATAAGACCATCATGGCAGCCTAATGTTGGACTTCCAGCGTCCACAACTGTGAGAAATAAATTTCTGTTGTTTATAAGCCACCTGGTCTATGGTACTTTGTTATTGCAGCCAGAACTAAGACAGGACCTTGTCTGCTTGATCCAGCTGTATGTTCAGCTCTTAAGTTAGCACTTGGCACACAGAAGAGGCTCAAGTAATATTTATTGACTGAATGCATTAATGACTGTCAAAATCAGTACTAGAAATCAAGTCTCTTTTTTCCTCAGTCAGTTCTCTAACAGGTGCTGGAATTAATCTTGCAGAAGTAAATGTAACATGTAGCTGCCTATCCCAACACCCCATTTCTTCTTCCTCCTTAAACTTCCCAGCCTCTCTTGCAGCTACATTCTGACCAGTGAGATGTAAAGGGAAGTGCTGTATGGTAGGTGCAGGAAGTCTTCATAAAACAGAGGAGGTATTCCCTTCCTCCTTCTTTCATCCTGCTGCCTGAAATGCAGACATGAAGGGCTGGAGATCAAGCAGCCATATGGACCACGGGCTGTGGACATGAAGGATGATAAACAGAAAGATGCAAGAAGCCTAGATCCCTGAGCACTGTAGTGACCACACCTGCCCTGAATTGCCTGCCTTCAGACTTCTTCTACATGAGAGAGAAATAAACCTCCATATGTTATATACCAATGGTCTTTGGGACTTTTCTATTATAGACAGAGAAAGCTAATCCTAACTGATATCGTGAGTAAACCCCCACACCCCTGGGGAAGTGGAGATCCAGTGAGAGCCTGGCACTCCAGAAATTGCCCAGTTCCACGACGTAGCAGGAGCAACCCAGCCTCGGCTCTACGTATCACCTGGACCCAGCTCCTGGGTGACCGACCCCTCTGAGCCTTGAATCAGGACCCTGTGCGTCCTGGGACAGTGCTTCCGGTAGAGATTCTCCGCCAGCGTGTTGCTTCCTTGAACCACGGTCCTCCCTTCCTTGTTCATGTAGTTCCACAGATGCAGGGCGTAGGAGTCGTTGAAGCTCGGGTCTGTGTCCCAGACTTCATAGTAGCGCCTCCACTGTCGAAAGGGGATGGGGTAAAATCTTTGGGGGTGTAAGAAGGACAGGTTCAAACACCTGAGGTCGCTCACCTCTTGGAAGTCTCCGAGTTTGCACCATACTCTCAACATCCTCGTCATCAAATGGGGACCCTGGTGGCCCCAAATGGCTGAATTGTAGTGTTCAACAAAGTTTTCCATGCACCCCCACAGGAAGGGGTGGCGGGGGAGGAATCCAAACACCCCGTTACTAGAGATCTTAGAAGACTGCGCAGCCAAAAAGTTCTCGTCAGGGATGGGCCTGATGGAGATGACGTCGGTGTCCATGTAGACGCCGCCGTACTTCCAGATGACCGCCAGGCGGCACGCATCTGAGCTGACGTAGAGCCAGTGTCTCTCTGTACTGCTGTTGACCTGCAGGAGCAAGTGCAAATCAGCCGCCAGCAGCAGGGGCAGAGGGAGGCGCTCACAGCCGAGGGCAGCCCCAGGGTAGCTGGGGAGGAGGAAGCAAGCCAGCCTCCCGAATGCCGAATTTTGCAAATTTACCAAACTCACCTCCACCCAAAAAAGTTGCCTTTAAGTAAAAAGTTTATAGCAATCAGTATCGATGGGAAGGTTTTAGCAGCTTTTAAAGATTTCATGAAATTGTTAAAAATATAATAAAAATAATTAAAGCAATGGAAGGGGAAAGAAGAACCCCGGGGGGATTTCACAATGAACTGTGTGAGTCATTTTCAGCAGGGTATACATTAACCACAAACATGAAACTCTGAAGAAAGAACTCTTAACATCCTAAAAATGCTAAAAACTATAAAGAAAAATAAGCTAGGAAACTATAGAATGGGTCAATATGTATGCTCTTTGAGAAATTGGTAAAAGAATCTTAAAATGCATGCATGCATGCCTTTGTTCACTAATTAATTTCTTTAATAACGTTCATTGAGGGGCTGCTTACTATGTGCCAAGCTCTATTATAATTACTAAGGACACAGCAGTGAACAAACAGACAAAATTCCAACTGGGAAGAGATAGTCCATAAACAAATAAGTATATAATATATTATATTGGGTGTTCATAAGGGATATGACGGGAAAAAAGTTGAGTGAAGGGGCTATTAAGGTAGCGAGGTAGAGCTCTATCTTATCTTGAGTTCCAGCAGAAACTTGAGTGAAGTGGGTGGGTGAACACTGCTGACATCTTAGAGAAGTGGGTTCTAGGTAGAGGGAACAGCCAGTTCAAGGGCCCTGAGACAGAAGCACGCTCACTCTTTACAGGAACGGGAAGGAGGCAATGTGGCCAAAACGGAGTGGTGACGGGAGAGGGATGGGAGATGAGATCAGAGAGGGCTGGGGTGGGGAGGGAGGGCAGATCACGTAGGCTGGGGTGAAGCCCGAAATGATTTGTAAGGCTCAAAAGAAAGGAGTGATGTGATCTGAATTAGTCTTAAAAGGGTCACACTGGCCACTGTGTGGAAAACAGATGGTGGGTGGGGGAGGGTGGTTGGGAGGTGGCCATGGCAGAAGCAGAGAAGCAAGTTAGGAGGCTGTTGAAATAATCCAGGCAAGAGATTACGGTGGAGAAGGAGGATGATAGAGGAGGTGAGAGAAGTGGTCAGATGCTGGGTACACGATAAAGACAAAGCCCGTCCAGATTTTGATGGGCGGGACGTGGAGTGGGAGAGAGGAGTCAAGGATGGCTGCAGATGCTAAAATGTGAGCAAAACAGAAAATGACTTTTAAAAGAATAAAAATAAATCATTAGAAAATGGCATTGTTCCCAAGTGGGATGCTAAAATTTTGAATACAGAAAGCAAAATAGATTTTTCTGAATTGAAATAGGTTGATTAAAAGATTAAACAACAATCCTTGGCTTATCACAAAATGAACATTCTTTAAAATTCTGCGATGAAGCCAAATGAGAGCAGGTCAACTAATACTTTGCAGGAACCTTCCCACAAGTTGTTAACATCATCGTGCTGCATACAATTGCTGAAAACCTCATAAAAAATAATAGCTAAATTTTATGAAAAACTGTTCCAAGCTCTTTATAAGCTACGCAAATCCTCAAAGATCAGTATTATGATTAATCCCATTTTTCAAGTGAAAAACTAAAAGGACTAAGAAGTTGAATAATTTGTCCAAGGTAAAAGAGGAAGAGGATGGATTTGAACCCAGGCAGTCTGGCTCCAGAGATCCAATCATTCAAAAGAAACAAGGTTTTGGTAAAAATAAGTAAAGTTGATTATTTGGTCAATTGGTGATTGTTAATGAACAGACCCAGAGATGAAGGATATCAAAAGCCACATAGAATCAGAGGAGAAGGGAGCCCGGCTTGATATGGGCATTGGGCTACCATCAACCTAAAATACAAGAGACCCCATGGGGTGGAGCACCAGAAAGGGGATTAGGGTCTGGATGCTTATCCCCTCAGCACCCCACAGTACTCCTCCCTGGGCATCTTCAAGGCCTACAGTTGCCAAACCAGTGCAGCAAACCCAGGGGTCACCAGCAGGTGATGGCACATTGGGTCATCCCTAACAGCTGGTCCCCAGCTATCCTGAGGTGGCCTCAATGGGGCAGAGCATGCCACAGCCCAGCCCCCCAAGGGTATGCTGGTGTGACCGCTGTGGATACATGGCCTGATGTGGTCCCTGCAGGCTCGGATGGGGCAGACACTCTGTGTCCCAGGGCCCACCTTGTTCCTAAGACCCAAAATGAGGCACAGCTCAGAGCAAATCAAACTGTGCTCCACACAACATTAGCTCCAAGGAAATATTTATGTCATGCTGAAAGAGGGTTCCATGCTCAAATAAATTTGGAAAATCCTGGGTTGAATCAAATTAAAGTTTCTTTAGTTCAGAACTACACAGAGCCTACCGTCTCCTCATGTGCGTGATTAGTCTGTGAGAAAAGGATGCGGTGTGCAACATCTCCCAAAACAATTTGAGTAGAGATTTCTTTTTCCAAGGAGCAAAACCCAGTGCAGGTAAAGTTAATGTAGCCCAGGCGTGCGGGAAACCAGGCCTGGAGCCAGCACACGCCTGTTCCTGTGCAGTCCTAGAGCGCCGTCTAGCAGGCTAGCACTGAGAGCCACAGGGACCCAGCCTGCATGTCCCCTCCACCCGGTCCCTCTTCACTGCCAGCGCCTGCCCCCCTGGCCCTCGGCCTGCTCTGCCGCTGCCCAGAGCCACACTGGTCACCACCTATTTGCTGGGAACCCTTGCTGACAACTGCAGGTGAAATCTCCACCCGGCAGGTCACTCCACCTCCTCCTGATGGGTCCCAATTTGAGATTTCAGGCTCTTCAGAGAAGAGATGGGCACACTAGGATCTAGAAATGAAACAGGGCCAAGAGCAAAACTGACCACTGCCGCCAACACACACACACTCAGGCTGTCGCTTAGTCCAGAAAATGTCTCCAGTTGACAGCAACTAGATGCAAGTGTGTCCTCCACCCAGGACAGCCTGCCTGGTCCCCAAGTGAATGAGGCGGGATGGGACCACAGCTATCCTTTTTATATATAAATATGGTAGTGGACTGAATAATGGCCACTCAAAAATACCAGGTCCTAAGTCCTGGAACCTGTAAATGTTACCTCTGGAAAAAGGGTCTTTGCAAATGTGATTAAATTAAGGATGTTGAGATTGGGAGATTATCCTGATGGGCCCTAAATGCTATCACAAGTGTCCTTTAAAGAGAGAGACAGGGACCAGCTGTGGCCGAGTAGTTAAAGTTCTGCGCGCTCTGTGTCAGCAGCCCAGGTTCCAGAGGCCAGATCCTGGGTGTGGACCTACTCCACTCATCAGCCATGCTGTGGAGGCATCCCACATACAAAGTAGAGGGAGATTGGCACAGATGTTAGCTCAGAGCAAATCTTCCTCAGCAAAAAAAAAGAGAGAGAGAAAGAGAGGCAGAGGGAAAGTTCACACATACACACACACACACACAGAGGAAAGGGGGAAGTAAAAGTGGAGGCAGGGAGTGGAGACTCTGCCCCAGAGCCTCCCTGGGGAATGGGGCTCTGCCAGCACCTTGCTATCTGCTCCCCGTGAGACTGATTTGGGACTTCTGGCGTCCATAACTGTGAGAGAACAACTTTCTGTGGTTTTAGGTCACTAAGTTTGTGGTGATTTGTTACAGCAGCCCCAGGAAACTAATACATGTGCCTTCCTAATGGCCTCAATTTTGCCTCTTGGCCTGCAAAGCCTAAAATATTTACCATCCGGCCCCTTACAGAGAAAGAGTTTGCTGGCATTTGGTCCAGCCTGTGATTAGAACTTAGACAGGACTTTACATGGCAAGCAAATGGTATTATTTTGATGTCAATTTTAAAATTACTTTTTATTTTTTTAATAATTTTATTTATAAAATTAACATATTCTCGTCACTAAATTCACTTCTAATCCAGTCACCCTGAAACACCTACTAGCACTGTGTGTTGTGTATTTTCTTCAGGTCTTTTTTTTCCATATAGATGTGGCAGGGGCCAGGGTTGCATAGCTAAAATAATTCTAATTACGTTATAATGTAAGAGTATTTAATTCCATATTGTGTGGTAGTCTTTATAAGAAGCCATGCTTAAAGCCCACATTATGGAATCATTGAGTGCTTGGGCTATTACTTCCTTAAGTTTTACCTTGTTGTGGGTCCTCTGTGAGAGAAATATGTAATTGAAATATTATTTCCTTATTATGCGATGTTACCAAGATGAAGATTGCAAAATTCCTAAGAGCTCCAGGAGTTTCTTGATCATATCTTAACATAACCCAATCTCACATAGCAACACTCCACCTGATCCTTCATGAATTTTCTATTTACATCATTTTCAAGTTAAATATTGCCTAGTGCCCGTTCAGGTGCAAAATAGTCCAGCATAGATGGGTTTAAAATTGTCAGTTTAAACTGACAAAATAGATGTTCTGTACACCTGGAATAGAGACTCATTCCATTAAAAATAGTCTCAGGGCTGGGGCTGGCCCCGTGGCCGAGCGGTTAAGTTCGCGCGCTCTGCTGCAGGCGGCCCAGTGTTTCGTTGGTTCAAATCCTGGGTGTGGACATGACACTGCTTATCAAACCACGCTGAGGCAGCATCCCACATGCCACAACTAGAAGGACCCACATCGAAGAATATACACCTATGTACTGGAGGGGCTTTGGGGAGAAAAAGGAAAAAATAAAATCTTTAAAAAAAAAAAAAATAGTCTCAGGGCTGATGCCATGGTGTAGCAGTCAAGTTCACACCCTCTGCTTCTGCAGCCCAGAGTTCACCAGTTTGGATCCTGGGCGTGGACCTACACACCGCTCATCAAGCCATGACGTGGCGGCATCCCACATAGAAGAACTAGAAGGACTTACAACTAAGATATACAACATACATACTAGGGCTTTGGGGAGAAAAAAGAAAGAGGAAGATTGGCAACGAATGTTAGCTCAGTGCCATTCTTCTTCACCAATAAAAAAAAAAAAAGAGCTGCCCACTCCATACCCTGCCTGCCCTCTAAAGAATGAAAAGAAAAAAATGGTCTCAAAAATAACCTAGATCTTAAGAAATAAGGCTGGAAACAAAAGACATCAGGCTACAGATAAGCCTGATGTCAATCTCTCCTGTTTACTTGAATCAGGACTCAACATGGTAGAAAGAAGGCAGGCAAGAGTCAAAGGATCTGGGTTCTAGTCTCATCTCCAACACTGAGTCCTTACCCTGTTTACCCATCTATCAAATGAGTAGGTTGGATTCATTTTCTATGGTCCCTCCCAACACTGACATTCTAAGATTCTCTGAGCACTTACTTGAGCGTACCATGAAGACAATGGCGTGTCTTCAAACAGCCTTTTCATATCCAAAGGGAAGAGGAAAACATTGTCTATCGCTGAGAGGAGGGAAAAGGCCGAGGCAGTGGAGTTTGGGGGCAGCTGTGTGGAATCGTTGAGACCCTTCATAAGGAACACCACAGGCTGCTCAGGGTAAATCCTGGCAGCTGACTCCACAGCACAGGAGACCAGCGGGGATGGCTCCATTCTCTCCGAGGTCTCCAGAAACACGATGCTGCGTCCCTGGCCCAGGAGGGCTTCTGGATCCCGCAGGGCCTTGGAAGGAGGCAGGCAGGAGAAGAGGCAGCTGGACTTCAGGGTGAGCTGGTAGAGGAAGCCACAGGCAAGCAGCAGGACGACCCACAGGGAGAGCTGGAGCTCCTTCAGCATGTCCTCCTCTCTCAGCCTGTTCCTTCGAATCAACACAGATAATTAAAAATGATATTCACAAAACCTGATCAAGACAGCGCACAGAAGATGATACATAAATATCACTTATAAGCTTAGATTTTTAAAAGAAGTGGTGGATTCTGTTCTCTCACTGCTACAGCCCAGGTTCATTTTCCAGTCAGGGAACTGGACCACCCGTCTGTGGGTTGTCATACTGTGGCGGCTGGGTATTGCTGTGATGCTGAAAGCTGTGCTCTAGGTGTTTCAAATACCAGCAGGGTCACCCACGGTGGACAGGCTTTAGTGGTGCTTCCAGACTAAGACAGACTAAGAAGAAGGACCTGCCCACCCATTTCCGAATAAATGGTCCATGAAGACGCTGTGAAGAGCAGCGGAGCATTGTCTGATAGAGCACCAGAAGGTGAGAGAGTGGCGCGGGAAGACCCGGCAGTCTGTACTCTTCACAGACTCTGTACAGACTCTGTACACAGAGTCGCTAGGATGGGGATTGACTCGACAGCACGAATAACAACAAAATAAAATACAATCAAATCAAGTCCTTTAATATGGAAAAGAAAAATGCATTAACTAGAGTTTATCTGAGGAATTTAAGGATGATTCAAAATACAAAAATAGTTAATTAGTTAATAGGTAAACTATTAATGAAATGCATTATCTTAACAGATTAAAGAAGAAAAGCCATATGGTCATTTTGACTCAATAGATGCCAAGAAAAGGATAAAATCTGACATCCATTCATGGTTTTTAAAAAGCACCAGGAAACTTTCTTAAGCTGACAAACGATGTCTGCCAGAACACACAGTAATCATCACACTTAATATGAAGCATTTCAAACATCCCCATTAAGACCAGGAGTATGATATAGAAGTCCATTGTCACTGTTAGTATTCAACATCGTTCTGATAAGTCTAAGCAATGCAATGAAACAAGAGACAGGTATTTCTACTATGAATATTAGAAAGGAAGAGGCAAAAATATCACAAGTTGTAGAATATAGGATTACCTACCTAGAAAATCCAAGATAATTTACTGAAAAACTAATAGAACTAAGATGAAAATTAACCAAGGAAGCAATCCGAAGGTGGGAGTTAAATAACTTGCCAAGACCACACAGGTAACCAGGAGCAGAGCAGGGACTCTAACGTGGGTCACCTGTCACCACAGCCCAGGCTCTGAGCCTTCACCTGCGGGACCTCCCTCTCCATAACTCCAGGAGAGCAGGGATCTCAGTTCTTCAGTGGTCTGTTTTTTGCATGGCATGTAACTCTTTTAGAAAATACAAAACCAACGAATCAGAGCTTACCTTCTAGCCAGAAACTTGCAGTTAGTTAATATCTGAGGTCTTAGCAATGATAAGTTTTTCCTGCTATACTTTCTGATAAACCACCAGCTAATCTCCCAATTCAACACTGGGAAGGAAATCATTGGCAGATGGTCAACGCTAAACACAAGACTTTCCCAGGAAGCTCCTCCCTCTCCTAAATTACTCTAAACACAGGGACTTGGGGACAAGAAGGGATTCACATGATATTTGAGGTGACTCACACACTAATCCTGCCTGTTCACGGATCTATCAGGAGGGTTATAAAGCAATGATTTCACACCTGGAGAAAATTGTGTCATAGTACAACCCTAGAACCAACAGAATGTGCCCCTGAGAGACTTAGCTTCAATCAAAATCATAGCAAAGACTTGGGGAGGTTTCTTCACCAGACAACCCTGTAAGTTAGTCCAAATGTTGCGCAAGGTTTGATTAAAAGAAAAGAAAATCCATCACCACAAATAAGCAGCGGACAAAACCCAGTAGTTCAAAGGCCTGGTGATCTGGAACAAGAACTGATTCCCCAGTGTCCATTACAGTGGCTTCAGGAAGGGTCCTTTTGCCCCAAGTTCCCTCTTGTGGGGTATGAGTTTCCTCCCAGTCTCACAAGGTCAGTTTCATCGCCCTCCACTGATGTGGCAGTCCCTACATCTCCCAGGGTAGCATTCTCCTGTGGTCTGCTCCTCATTGCTCCTTACATGAGCACTTAGTAATTCTCTTTGGAGCCATCCTCTGCTCAGGGAACCACCTAACTTCAGTCCAGAGCCTTCTTTTGTCCATAAACAGGTATCCCGGTTCCCCCTGGATGTTCTTGTGTGAACAGAGAGTTCCCCTCCTGAGCAACTTTGGATCCTGACATAGCAAGTCCTACATCAAGGGAATTAAACCTTCCCGCTCATTGATGGTGTTGGGGGAAGTCATCGAGAAGACATGACCACTGGTTGACACTTGAGCTGGACCCAGGCAATTGGAGGCTCCCCATCTCCTCCCACGTCCTAGGAATGTGCGTTCCGTTTGCCTTCCCCATTCCCAGAAGCCACCCCAAGGATACAGCCTTGACATAGAAATGTGGTGTTGAGACCATCTGGATGGCATATGTGACTAAGCCCTGTTAAGGCCTCTATATAAACTTGTCAGATTTGGCAAGTGGGTGAGTACATTGTCTTGCAGCCAGCCAAGAGAAACGATGTAAGTTCCCTTGCTTATTAAACTTGCCACCTACCAATCTGGAGTGCTCTGCCTGTTTGTTCTGTCCCTCCCTGCCCTCCACATTCGGGGGCCAGTTTCAGATTACAACTGAGAAGCTCCCAAGAAGGTTGGGAAGCAACAGATGGCTTCTCGTTTTCTACGTGGCTGAGGCTGCCCAAGAATAGCTCATAGGGTCTCACACACCTCTTCCTTTCAGAGCTGAATTTCTTCTCTGGACCTCATCAGTTCTAGGCTCAGGTACCTTGGCATCATTCCAAAGTCCCCTGTCGTTGGATAGATTGGTTGTTCTTTCATTACAGAGGCGAGGGGAGGCAGTGTTCTGCCCTTGCACTGGGGTAACTGGAGCGCTCCCTTTGTGGGAGGGGTACCTTCCTCATGCCTGCGTCTAAGGTGGGTCACGTGCTCTGGTGCCTTCCAACTGCTGGCACAGTGGCCAAAACCACTGAACAAGTGGTCAAGGCAGAGAACAGTGAAATAGTTGGTGGTCTTTGTCACAGGGATGAAAGGGAGCATTCATGATGCAGTGAAACCCCAAGCACAAGAAGTAGGACCTGTCCGACCAAGAACCAAGTAGAGGGTAGGATGGAAAGAGCACTGAGTTTGGAGTCATGCCTCTACCCATGCAGGCTGAGGGCACCAGAGCAAGTCCCTAAGCTGCCTGGATCTTCAGCTCCTTTGTAGAGTGCAAAAATAACTGAGCCCAGGCTCGTGGTGAGGATGAAAGGACCCTGTAAACCAAAGAAGCAGTTCACACTTTCCACCCAGGAAAAGAGGAGAAAAATGGAACACTATTACTGTAGATGGTATTTGGACTCCCTGACGACAAACATTAAGTTGTTGTTGTTGTTGTTGTTGTTGTTGTCGCTGTTTTCAGATGAATGATATCTGTTTCCCAGTGAACTTTCAAAAAGGGAATACTCAGCCACATGTGAGAGTTGATGAGATATGCGCAGAAGCCAGTAGTCAGTCACTGATCCCTAGGGCATTTTTAGGACCACAACTGATGTCCTTCCCAAGTCATTCCGAGGAGGCCTTCTGTCATCTGGGCCACTCTGCCAGGAGCTTCCCAGGATGCCCAGATCCATCCATTGAGCCTTCCCTCTGGTGTGATGAGCAGAACTGAATTTCCTTCCTTCCGCTCCCCTTTCTGCCTTGTCTACTGGGTGCCACACTAACTCTCTCTCTGTGTGGGCAGATCCCACAGCAGCACCTCCTAACCTGGACTCCATGGATCCCCAGAGGCTCCAAGGATAGGCCACAGCTTGTATCAGTACCTTCACTCTGGGTGCCCCTTACCCACAGCTTCTCCTACATATCACCTAAGGAGTGTCCCTGCTCTTTGACCCTCTGTGACATTAACTCTGTTCAAAATTCCTCCAAACATCTTCACCACACAATCTCAGGCCTTCTCCAACCAGCCAAGCAACTCCTAGGAACCCACTGTAGGTATCTGAGTAGTGATTTATCTTTAAGCAATGGATGGATCTGAATACATTGGTGACAGTCACATATGCATCCAGATACTGTCTACTTTCTTAGGAGTTTCTGCCTGTTGTGAGAGAGATCTTACCTCCTCCTTTGTAATGTAGGTCAGACTTGGTCAATCCAATGGATTAGGGTTGTTGTCGCTGAGTGATGAGGCCTTAGGAAATGTAGATTGATGTAGCCGCAAATAAATGAACAGGATGGCAAAAAACTCCGAATCTAGTGTTCTTTCTATTTTACAATGCTGTTCTTCAGATATTTGTAGCTAGTGCAAAGGAAATGCAACACAGGAAGGTAAACCACAGAACCAGAGCAGAAATTTCCCCAGCTCTCCAGCCCTATGGATAACCTCTGATAACCTCAACTGCAGGCAGCTCAGTGTTTGGGCCTAGACTCCCTCTGCTATAAAGGATTTACTGTGTCAAGACGGAAAAGTTAAAGGAATTGTTAACAAGAAATGTTTGTTGAGTTGAATTACACGTGAAAAGCACACCCCTTAGTTCTGTAGCTTCTTTGAACTCCAGTTTATTGCAAAAAGGAAATACTCAAGCCAACAATACTTGTCTTATTTACTTTGGAGGCTTTAGAACCACAGTTCCGGTGATAACCTCAACTGCAGGCAGCTCAGTGTTTGGTCCTAGGCTCCCTCGGCTATAAAGGATTTACTGTGTCAAGACGGAAAAGTTAAAGGAATTGTTAACAAGAAATGTTTGTTGAGTTGAATTACACGTGAAAAGCACACCCTTTAGTTCTGTAGCTTCTTTGAATTCCAGTTTATTGCAAAAAGGAGATACTCAAGCCAACAATACTTGTCTTCTTTACTTTGGAGGCTTTAGAACCACAGTTCCGGTTTTTAACGTATTTATTAAGCGAGTGGGACCGATAAACGTGTTAAAGCATTCAGCTATTAACAAGGCAAAACCAATACTCAGAGTGATATCTTATCAACATTGTCAATTCCTTTCACCGCTGCTCTGAAGCAGGAACAAAGACTGGAGTATTGGGTTTGCATGAATGGAGAGGAGATGGCTTGGACAGAGGCAGGTCGCTGCAGACGGAGAAATCACCAGAGCTTAACACTGGGGGACCCATGGGAGAACCATGGAAGCGCATTAAGGAGTGACATTATCAACAGCAAGTCTTGAAGAAAATTTTTTACTAAAAATCAGTGAATTTGTGCCAGAGTAAAATCCCCTCATCCCATGTCAATATTTTAGAGTTCTGCATTTCTAAGAAAATGGTTCTAGCCTTGCGTTTCTGGAGATAATGCTTTTCGTTCTCCACTTGGCCATACCCATCAAACATGCTCCTGCTTATAAAACCTTGCAGAGCTATCAAGAATGTGTTCCTCAGTTTGTTCTAGAAATTGCTATGCTTACTCATGTAATTTCCCCCCTTTTTAAATTTACTGGTAGATAAAAGAAGGACTCAGGGGTTAGGGCAGGAAGATAAGGGAGAATAATCATTCTCAGTGAAGCAGTTGTGCCCCAGACACCGCTCCTTCCGGCTGGAGAACAGGATCTGCCAGAAGCCTATGGAAAACAGTGGAACCAGCCAGAGAGTGGAGGGCTGTCTGAGGGGCTTTGCATTAAGTTCTATAATAAGTTAGGGTTTAGTTTCCCCTTCCTGTAAGGAATTGGAACCATCTTAGAGCCACCTATGCCAAGTGTCCACATGACACGGGACCTTTATAAAGACTGAGTGGCTGTGAGAATGAGCACTTCCCCGTATGGTGAAAGAAACTGTTATGGACTGAAAGTTTATGTCGTTCCCCCCCCCCCACCACCACCAAAATTCTTATGTCAAAGCCCTAACCCCAGTGTGATGGTATTTGGAAGTGGGATGTTTCAGAGATAATTGGGTTTAGATGATGTCAGGAGAGTGGGACCCTTCTAAGAAGAGGAAGACAGAGAGATCTCTGTCTCTCCAGGAGCATACATCTCACAAGGAAAGGTGATGTGAGGACACAGCAAGAAGGGGCTGTCTGCCAGGAAAGAGGGTCCTCACCAGAAACCCAGCTGCGTCTTGATCTTGGACTTCCCAGCCTCCAGAACCGTGACCAATAAATATCTGTTGATTAAGCCACCAGTCTTCAGTATTTTGTAATAGCAGCGCAAGCTGACTAAGATAGAAACCCCACCGCAGAGAACCCCACGGTTCTCTCTCATCTCCTTCCATATGTTTTCATGAGAGTCTGTTTTCGAGCCCTGGATGAGGTTGGAGCTGCTCTTCAGATTTAGAGAGTTGAGACCAAGCCTCCAGTGGATTAGAGGCAATTTCATCTGCAAGAGAAACCTGTTACAGGTGGAGCTGTCCTCCTTGCCTGCGATCTCTCAGCCTTCCCTTCCTTCTGTCCTTCCACACACCCCTCAATCTATCCTCTTGTT